TGGAACATTTTTTTTTTCCAACTTTGTGGGTTAGCACACTGTCGCTCCCAGGACATAAAATTACGTAATTTAATTCACGGCCAAGGTACGAGCAAATCAGCGGCAGGTGTTAACCCTCTGAAACACGAAGTTCATCTAAATAATATTTAACAATAAAACGCAAAGAGTCTCCATTGTAAAAGTTGATCGGTTAATGTTTTTAATGAAAATAATCGCTGTTTATTAGAATAATTAGAAAAACCCTTAAATACATTCTGTGGATAAAGCTCTATTACTTATTGTTACAGCAAATGGCATTTACAGTTATCACTGGGATTTAAAGGGACAAATTGAATCAGAATATAAGTCAGGGGTTCTCAACATTCTTCTATACCTGAGGCCATACTCGACCTTTCTTATCACTTCGCAGACCGTAAGGTTAAAATGAGAATATAATTATTACGAGATTCATCGAAGTTTTTTTGTAATCTGATTTCACATTTTACTCAAAAATGTTCTTTAACAAAACCAAACATCAGCGAAATGCAAGATGCTACTTTTGGTCTGTATTACCACTGGCTGTTTCTAATTACAAAATACGGGAAGTAAGTTTTTGTGCTAAAAACGAAGGGCGGCAAACATCGGTAGGACTCCTTGGACGAGGGATCGGCCCGACTTCGTATTCAAAAGTCATAATTATCTATTCAAGTTCATTAGAAATTTGTTTCATCACAAAATTTCTTATACGTCTGACCTTGGAATTGTCCATAATCGCCAACGAATCCAGACGAATATCTTAAAGAACAAAAATAACTTTAAACGATACATTAACCAGTTGATCTAAGTAATGGTGAAGTGTGGTGTTTACTTCGCGGTACGGGCTGAAATCTTAAATATTACTTTGAGAAGTTTCGGGCTTTCAAAGAGTTAAAAGAGGCTATTTTATCCATTAGCAGACCAGACCAAAATATGCCACTGACTGGTCTAACTTCGTGACCAGAATATAAAAAATCTTCAAGACACTGGCGACAGTCGTTCTGATGTTGCAAAAAACATGTCGAAGACAAATCCTTCATACACGCGTCTCCTAGCGCCGTAACATTACGAAAACCTTCAATTCCGTATAATTCCCTTTATAAAATTACTCACAAAAAAATATTTACTGTGCATCTAACGTAAGTTTATTGATTGGCAAATGATAACACGATGATCAGACCGGGACCTGATTCCCGTCAGGGGCTGGGATTTTTCTCTTCGCCATCGTGTCCAGATGGACTCCTACGAGGGCCAGGGGATTCTTTACAAAGGATTACAGCGGCCGAAGCTTGAAGCTCGCCACTCCCCCTCAATCTGGTTCCGAGATTAAAATGTAAGACACTTAATCTCAGAATTTAACGTTTTCAAGAAGCTCAAATTCTTATTAAGATCTTGTATGGGTGATGACTGTGTTGTCTTGTACAGAATTTTGGTTGGATAACCTGAAGGGAAGATAAATTTCTGGGCTAGCTAAGCAACTATCAGTTTCTTAAGAATGTGTTTAATTGGGTTTGCTTTGGTTACTTTAAGATTTGTTAGATTGGGTTCAGAGTCTATTTCTTAAGCTACGTTTTCTCCCCTGTAGCTTAGGTTACATTACTTTATGTTGCTTTTATCTAGCTTATCTTAAACCGTGTTTGGTTACGTTAAGCTGGATTAGTCTGAGTAACGTCCGCAAAAGACAGACGTTGACGAAAGAGTATAACAAGACTCCCGTCTGTTGGTCCACTCTTCTACGAGGTTAACCCACACCTTCACTGACAAGACCGAGATTAGTCTTTCAAGGTCGTTGTCTGTGTTCACATAATCTCCTCCTTTCGTTCTCGGCCCTGTTCAACAGCAAGAAATAAGTTTTCGTTGTCTCGTGCAATGGGACAATAAACTTGTCCTCGAAATTTTGGCAAATACACACACGAACACTCGGTTTAAATTTCATATATGAGACGTGGGATAGTTCAAAAGTGTGTGGAACGAAGATTTTGGTGTCCTATCCTTGCATTTGTCTATTAGGGGTCGACACTTACCACAAAAATAGATTCCGAGAACCAGATTTGACCTCGGTGCATCCCGAACACAAAATGGAGTCCTAACCACTCGACGGTGGCGTTCGGTATTGGTCACAGGATTATTAACGGAAGGGCAGGACCGTCTCCTTTCAAAACCCCGGTTCAATGACCCACGTGACGCATTTAAGTGTGGAACGCGGTAATTTGTAACGGGCGACGTAGTTCTTTTATTTTTTATAATTTATTTACTTCGCGATTTATTATTTTTTCTGGATATCTTACAGAAATAATTATTAAAACTGTGATCAGAATTTTGGCTAATTCTATTTCTGTGACACTACAAAGGACTGTTTAAAATTCGATCAAGGATGTCCAGTATATCGCGGGACTCCTTTCAAAAGACATGCATACGTACATCGCTTTGTGGTTGTCATGCTTTGCTCCACAACTGGTGTACAAATGAATGTTTCAGGTGTCTCGCAAAATTTTCATACGAAACTATATTTGCGACCTAGTTCTTTATCTGGCGTTCTATTTTAAGCCGAACACTTGCTAGCAACGACAGTTACCGCCAGGTACTGAATACATTAACAACACGTGTTTTCTGATATGACGGAACTACTTTCCGTCAAAAGGGGTTACACAACATCACAGAAAAAAACATACGCGATCCCAACAAAATTCATCAGCGGCCCGCGGGTTGATAATCTCTGGTCTAATACACAAGAAATAATCCTCTTTTGCTTGGGCAGTGCATCAACACGACTCCAGCTACTACGCCACTGTAACCATCTTGTATTCTATACACTATTTGAGATTGTAGCGAGTGTCCTCAGTCACTCCACAAGAATAAATCAAAACCACATTCCCCCCCTACACCGTTACATAATCCACAGTCAATATTTAAAATTTTCATCGCCATGATGATGGAAGCAGCAATGACCTCCGAAACATCAGTTAACTTCTACCACATTACAAAGCGCCACAGCCCAGAAGACAGCGATTTCATAAAAAAACTGGTATCAGTTTTGCTGCTACGAAATTAGAACTGAGACAGGACCTCCCTTGTTCGGCTGTGTGAAATATTTCCTTGTAGTTTATTTAATATAATCGGCATAAAAAATTGATATTTTTATATTCAATCGTTTCGTCAAACTAGATTATCCACAACTCTACGTCAAAAGTAGACTTACTCGCACAAACACACCCCCCAAAGTATAACATTTCTCGGGAATGGACTCGTCCAAGATCCTATCGCAAATGAAACTCAGAAGATAACAGGACTGCAACCACTAAATACTTTCAATATATGAATACATGGCAATTAGTTTATTCAGAAGAGTACATTCAACGTGTACAACAGTCGGTTAAATTACACTTTGGGTGCTTTGAGAAGTCAGTATATCACATGCACGGAAGTACTTAATAAGTCCCCCACAAGTCCATTGTCTAAAACAATTGACAAACAAAATGGCGCAAACAATTTAGACGATTCTTAACGACCGTGTACATTTTCATATGGATTGAACAAATTAAAGAAAGTAAACTAAAATATTTGCGGACTCAAACCGTTCTGATTTAAAGTAATTACGAAACACGAAACGTTAGACATCTGGTAGGTCATCCTAGATGGGGGATCGGATTATCTCGAGGCTTTAGTCCCACACAGCAGTGGAGAGTAATAAACAAAACTTGAGTACGGACAGACGCCGAGCTATTAAAAAAATTCACATCTTTATACAAAAAAAAAAATTACTAACTGCACGAAACAGTCGTCGTTATAGAGTAAAAAAGAATTTCGTGAACCCGTAATTATCATTAATGTGTTCGCAACAACCCGCAAGTGGACACTGAGCCTACTGAATCCAATTCACGCCCTTAAGTCTGCAAATATCTGCATATTTATATTTTCATTAACTACTGTATTCATATTACGACACGTACTATATAAGTGGCAGTGTTGTTTAATATTTGGTCACCCCTGAATACTAATACCGCTGGCACTGTCTGTCCATATTGGAAGGAATGTGTTCTTGTATCTAACGGATTGAACGCACAGCACAGCAAGCCAGCCAGCGAGCCTATCAGCCCACTTCACTCTAGCCAGAAGTGCATGCACCATATGGTAGATGGCATAATGTCACATGTACAAAACCCATACAGACGACCTTGTTCTGAGAAATATATGATGGCATTCTCTCTCTCTCTAGTAGTTTCAAGACATCGAAGTAACGCGTGGGTGGATATATCGTCCATCAAAACACTTCCACTACACAGTAATAACATCGATTTATAAGTTTACTACTCACTACAGCGACATTTGCGTACATTCATAAACTGAAAACCTGCTTAAATTTCACGGAGCAAAGTCCTTCTTGACAAGCTGACAACAGATCGAGATAGTCCTTAGCCAAATTTTCACATCCGAAAGTTAATTGTCATATTCCCAACAGCCCTCCAGTGGTCCCAACCCTAAGTCAGTTGAATCTCATCTTATTTCTAGAAGACACATTTTAATATTATCAACCATATCTTTTCCCTTAATGCCTTCCGATTAAAATTCTGTAAGTATTACTACGTTCCACGCCCATCAAATCACACAATATTCGGTCAACAGTATAAATTACAAAGGCCACCTTATCTTAATATCGTTATTTAACTATATAATCAAAATTAGGTGACTATAATTCACGTGAAATTCTTGATGAAGGTACTTATTTTTGACTTATTAATATATATAAAACTGTCATTAGAAGTTGTTTTACGCATTGTGTAATCACTCGAAGATAAGCTAACCCACCAGAAATGTGTTGCATTTTTTTTATACTTAGAGTGGGGATGAATCCATATAATCACATGCCTGTGACTCCAATATTGATAATTACCGTAAAACAAACAAAACAAATGTCGACAATAATGTAACTACAAATATTTTCTCAGACGTAACTGTTTACAAACATAAAATAAAACTGAACTCACCGGATCCAGATCTGAATCCCATAACTCCTTTAGGTCAGTTGTGCCAATATCATAAAACGTTCTGTCCACGGAAAATGTCTCCATTTTAAATTTCAGAACACACACACACACACGTTTAAATTAATAAACGATATCGTACTGTGTTCTTATTAAATGTATGTCAGTATATAATTCTCCCTTTATTAAGTCAATTGGCACTATATTGTCAAGTGATCACGTTCTTTTAACGTGAAAGCACAATTGTGATAACTTTTATATTCCGTTTTCCTCAACACACACACATCAAGTCGATTATACAATTAAATGTTTCACGTCGCTGAAATAACTGTACCATTCACTTGCATGTTCTTAACACACGCTTGTGATATTACGTAATTAATTAATTCAATTTAAATATCAATAGGAACTTCTTTCAATCCGTAACATAAATCAGTTCGCTTAGAGGAACAGAATAACAGAAGCGAGTTATAAACAAGTCTGGAAGGGGGGAGGGGAATTGTCCGTTTCCTTTTCCGGTACGAAAAGAGATACTTAAGGAGGGGCTGGCGAATCGCAGTGAAGCGAGAGGAAACTGTAATATCTTCCTATTACAATACGGACACTAGAGGTGGAAAACAAAACGTCTGCAAGCCGATTTCGATATTCGAAGTACACTGAAACACTTCCTGGTGCACTGTGTATAACATGAGAGAATATTTCGAGAAATTTCACTCGCTGATAACCTACACCACCACCAACCACGACAGGCACCTGTTGACTAACTTTCAGTACACATTTGATTAACAGCGAAGTCACCAGTGAGGGGAGTATCACAAACACTGAACGAATCCGAGAACTTAAACTCCCTCCACCCACCTACAACAACCAATCACAACTGTTCCTTCGGCTAGTAAGCTGATAAGGGTGCACGTAATTCCGTAGGTTAAATCCACAGCACTTATTAAAGAGAGTTTAAGATAAAAGATACCAACATTTCGAATTCTTATCAAGGGGTCAAATGTGGAAGCCGGATGTTTCCATGTTTGTCGAGTCTGATGCAAATGTCACACGGCGAAGCGCACTAGCTACTCGGTTGCTGGCCGGCGTCCTTCTAAGTGCTGTCTCTAGCACGAAGTATGTCCCCTCAACCACTGCTCCATGAGAAGGCGGAGTCAGCAGTTTCAATGACCTTTAGAATGCTATGCTTCGCGTTTCGCCAAAGTTGTCTCTGATTGGTCGACTTTCAGGAATGTGGAATCTTTATGCCTTCTTGCACACTTTCAAGTTTAAATTTGCAACAGTAGCAAGAATCTCTTAAACATTTTCTGCAAGTTTCCTTTTTTATAACCTTTTTTTTTCCTTATTGTTGCTTCATATCTGCCAGCTTCTATTATGAAGTACAAAGTTTGTTTATGGTTGAGTAAACTTCGATGTTAGAAATGTGAAGTTTATCGACAATAAAGTTTAAAAAGGACGAGACGGAATATATTGATAGCATATTGTCCATTTTACTGCAACACTGTTGTTTCCTCTCTTCACTCCGGTGGACTTTGGTTACGCCCAATAATCAGCTGTGCGGGACAACGCGAAATCGATTGCCACCTATTAGTGATTCTAGCAGTCTCTTCTTATACTTCGGTGGCTCTAACGATAAAAGGAGCTTCACTCTTAATTTAACTTCAAACACTACCACACCTTCTTGCCTTACCTCAGTTTGATTAATACCAAACGGGGGCAAATAGTGTATTATATTAATGGATCATGGGCTGGAATCACAAAAAATGAACACAAAATGTGGGAAAATATTAGACTGAGAAATTGGAATTTCACTGTATTATTCCACAAATTAGAGACTGGTTTCACTGCTGCCAACCTACCTTCAACCTTTGTTTAAACATCAAAGGGACAAGACACGTATATGGAGATGGGTATTACAGAATTTCCAAAAGTTTTGCTGTCACAATGAGATATTTTTATTACAATAAAAACTCTTCTCTCCCAATGATTTTTCCTCTCCACTTAAGGTAACGAACACTATTATCCATATGCGTACACTAATGTGCCAGCCAGCAGGAAGTGGGATTTGAGCAGTCAATATTATTTCCTTAAACAGCGTTAACCAGTTGATCTTCGTAATGGTGAAGTGTGGTGTTTTCTTCGCGGTACGGACTGGATTATTAAATAATATTCATACGAGCTTCTGCGTCAAATGTTTAATTAATTATCATAATAAAAATCTATTATTTCCTTAAACAGCGTAAACCAGTTGATCTTCGTAATGGTGAAGTGTGGTGTTTTCTTCGCGGTACGGACTGAATTCTTAAATACAATTATACGGACGTCAAGGGATTAAATATAATTCGCGTGTCCTACATGTTTTTTTTCTTCGCAATCTAAAAAGAAAATATGGAATATTTTTCGAATATCTATCACCACACAAAATGCGCTGGTGATATCACCTCCTCACAAATCCATATGATCGCCACGTTGGCAAAATAATTTAAGTAGGGTAATGTGGGACAATTCCGTACGTCAGGTAATTCTACAAAGTGGTAGCTAGTGATATGCTGTACATACCAAATTTAATGAACATTCGTCATCCGGTTAAAATACTTTTCGGCGGGGGATGAGGTGTGGTCACGCGATTAGGACAACACGATGACAAGTCATTAATCATCACGTTTCATTTTCCTTATAAGTACGATATTATCGAGGGACAAGTGAAATTATGCATTGGTATTTTGCTGATATGCCACCAGGTGGGTGGAGAAACATTTCAAACACAGGCGTCCACTTTCTACAGAAACTTACAAGTGTGTCTCAAGATACGATGTCTTTGCCATGATTTTATTCATCCCCTGCACAGACAATTACCGGATAGTACCTTAAATTAGAACACACATCCCTTCTACTTATCAGTCACCATTTAAATTCCATAATCGAAAGCTTCCCTAAATACGGCACAGACAGAAATAAATCAACGCAATCCAAATCTTTGGACGTGGTGGAAGTTTTTGGCTACACGATCCAATCATTTTATCCACATGAACAGTCTCCTTTATTAATTGGACATGGGGCTAGGTTCCAGAAACCTGAGCCTCGCTGAGAATCCACTTAACCCTGTTATCATCATCTTCACCGACAGTCATCAGCGATTCTTTCGTGTTACTGTTTGAGGTCGCGCGTGCCCGCTGAGCCGGAAGGTCACGTGACTAACTGACCACGTGGAGCCCTAGACACACCCTTCACAGCACCGTTAACTAAACAAGTTTTTATTGAAGCCCTTACAGTCCCCATGCCAAGTACGACGAGAACAAAATCAGATTTACTGGGACGGAATTAAGGCGGTCCATACAAATCTTGTTCTTGATATTAAGAAATATTTGTAACCTTTACAAGAGTCAAGGAAAGTGACCTTTTAGTTTAAAATCCTGCAGAGCTGAATACCTTGGAGCAACAACGGGATAACTCACACTTTTTATTAAAACACGGAAGAATTATTGCTTTAATTACGCCTTTTATTTTTAAACATGATCCTGGGACACGAATTTAAAGATGAAAAATCACACGTGACTTAGCTCGCCCCTACGACAGAGAGCAGCAATGAGATTACATGGAACATTTTTTTTTTCCAACTTTGTGGGTTAGCACACTGTCGCTCCCAGGACATAAAATTACGTAATTTAATTCACGGCCAAGGTACGAGCAAATCAGCGGCAGGTGTTAACCCTCTGAAACACGAAGTTCATCTAAATAATATTTAACAATAAAACGCAAAGAGTCTCCATTGTAAAAGTTGATCGGTTAATGTTTTTAATGAAAATAATCGCTGTTTATTAGAATAATTAGAAAAACCCTTAAATACATTCTGTGGATAAAGCTCTATTACTTATTGTTACAGCAAATGGCATTTACAGTTATCACTGGGATTTAAAGGGACAAATTGAATCAGAATATAAGTCAGGGGTTCTCAACATTCTTCTATACCTGAGGCCATACTCGACCTTTCTTATCACTTCGCAGACCGTAAGGTTAAAATGAGAATATAATTATTACGAGATTCATCGAAGTTTTTTTGTAATCTGATTTCACATTTTACTCAAAAATGTTCTTTAACAAAACCAAACATCAGCGAAATGCAAGATGCTACTTTTGGTCTGTATTACCACTGGCTGTTTCTAATTACAAAATACGGGAAGTAAGTTTTTGTGCTAAAAACGAAGGGCGGCAAACATCGGTAGGACTCCTTGGACGAGGGATCGGCCCGACTTCGTATTCAAAAGTCATAATTATCTATTCAAGTTCATTAGAAATTTGTTTCATCACAAAATTTCTTATACGTCTGACCTTGGAATTGTCCATAATCGCCAACGAATCCAGACGAATATGTTAAAAAAACAAAAATAACTTTAAACGATACATTCTCGCGAGAAAAATGTTCAAAATGACATTTATCGACTCGAAATAAAACAAAAAATAAACTATCACAGTACAGACAGAATTCGTTAGATCACGTTAGAAGCATGAAAAATATTAGAAGCCAAAAGCAAGTTCTGGACAACAATGAACCCTTTAAAGTCCATTAATAACTCTATGTCCCACTTTCTTCAACAATCAGAAACACTGCATTTTACATTTACTGATTTCGTTATCATTCACGCAATAAACAGCGACCATTTCCTTAAACAGCGTCAACCAGTTGATCTAAGTAATGGTGAAGTGAAGTGTTTACTTCGCGGTACGGGCTGAATACTTAAATATTACTTTGAGAAGTTTCGGGCTTTCAAAGAGTTAAAAGAGGCTATTTTATCCATTAGCAGACCAGACCAAAATATGCCACTGACTGGTCTAACTTCGTGACCAGAATATAAAAAATCTTCAAGACACTGGCGACAGTCGTTCTGATGTTGCAAAAAACATGTCGAAGACAAATCCTTCATACACGCGTCTCCTAGCGCCGTAACATTACGAAAACCTTCAATTCCGTATAATTCCCTTTATAAAATTACTCACAAAAAAATATTTACTGTGCATCTAACGTAAGTTTATTGATTGGCAAATGATAACACGATGATCAGACCGGGACCTGATTCCCGTCAGGGGCTGGGATTTTTCTCTTCGCCATCGTGTCCAGATGGACTCCTACGAGGGCCAGGGGATTCTTTACAAAGGATTACAGCGGCCGAAGCTTGAAGCTCGCCACTCCCCCTCAATCTGGTTCCGAGATTAAAATGTAAGACACTTAATCTCAGAATTTAACGTTTTCAAGAAGCTCAAATTCTTATTAAGATCTTGTATGGGTGATGACTGTGTTGTCTTGTACAGAATTTTGGTTGGATAACCTGAAGGGAAGATAAATTTCTGGGCTAGCTAAGCAACTATCAGTTTCTTAAGAATGTGTTTAATTGGGTTTGCTTTGGTTACTTTAAGATTTGTTAGATTGGGTTCAGAGTCTATTTCTTAAGCTACGTTTTCTCCCCTGTAGCTTAGGTTACATTACTTTATGTTGCTTTTATCTAGCTTATCTTAAACCGTGTTTGGTTACGTTAAGCTGGATTAGTCTGAGTAACGTCCGCAAAAGACAGACGTTGACGAAAGAGTATAACAAGACTCCCGTCTGTTGGTCCACTCTTCTACGAGGTTAACCCACACCTTCACTGACAAGACCGAGATTAGTCTTTCAAGGTCGTTGTCTGTGTTCACATAATCTCCTCCTTTCGTTCTCGGCCCTGTTCAACAGCAAGAAATAAGTTTTCGTTGTCTCGTGCAATGGGACAATAAACTTGTCCTCGAAATTTTGGCAAATACACACACGAACACGCGGTTTAAATTTCATATATGAGACGTAGGATAGTTCAAAAGTGTGTGGAAGGAATATTTTGGTGACTTATATTTGGTATTATCCTTGCATTTGTCTATTAGGGGTCGACACTTACCACAAAAATAGATTCCGAGAACCAGATTTGACCTCGGTGCATCCCGAACACAAAATGGAGTCCTAACCACTCGACGGTGGCGTTCGGTATTGGTCACAGGATTATTAACGGAAGGGCAGGACCGTCTCCTTTCAAAACCCCGGTTCAATGACCCACGTGACGCATTTAAGTGTGGAACGCGGTAATTTGTAACGGGCGACGTAGTTATTTTATTTTTTATAATTTATTTACTTCGCGATTTATTATTTTTTCTGGATATCTTACAGAAATAATTATTAAAACTGTGATCAGAATTTTGGCTAATTCTATTTCTGTGACACTACAAAGGACTGTTTAAAATTCGATCAAGGATGTCCAGTATATCGCGGGACTCCTTTCAAAAGACATGCATACGTACATCGCTTTGTGGTTGTCATGCTTTGCTCCACAACTGGTGTACAAATGAATGTTTCAGGTGTCTCGCAAAATTTTCATACGAAACTATATTTGCGACCTAGTTCTTTATCTGGCGTTCTATTTTAAGCCGAACACTTGCTAGCAACGACAGTTACCGCCAGGTACTGAATACATTAACAACACGTGTTTTCTGATATGACGGAACTACTTTCCGTCAAAAGGGGTTACACAACATCACAGAAAAAAACATACGCGATCCCAACAAAATTCATCAGCGGCCCGCGGGTTGATAATCTCTGGTCTAATACACAAGAAATAATCCTCTTTTGCTTGGGCAGTGCATCAACACGACTCCAGCTACTACGCCACTGTAACCATCTTGTATTCTATACACTATTTGAGATTGTAGCGAGTGTCCTCAGTCACTCCACAAGAATAAATCAAAACCACATTCCCCCCTTACACCGTTACATAATCCACAGTCAATATTTAAAATTTTCATCGCCATGATGATGGAAGCAGCAATGACCTCCGAAACATCAGTTAACTTCTACCACATTACAAAGCGCCACAGCACAGGAGACAGCGATTTCATCTTCTACCACATTACAAAGCGCCACAGCCCAGAAGACAGCGATTTCATAAAAAAACTGGTATCAGTTTTGCTGCTACGAAATTAGAACTGAGACAGGACCTCCCTTGTTCGGCTGTGTGAAATATTTCCTTGTAGTTTATTTAATATAATCGGCATAAAAAATTGATATTTTTATATTCAATCGTTTCGTCAAACTAGATTATCCACAACTCTACGTCAAAAGTAGACTTACTCGCACAAACACACCCCCCAAAGTATAACATTTCTCGGGAATGGACTCGTCCAAGATCCTATCGCAAATGAAACTCAGAAGATAACAGGACTGCAACCACTAAATACTTTCAATATATGAATACATGGCAATTAGTTTATTCAGAAGAGTACATTCAACGTGTACAACAGTCGGTTAAATTACACTTTGGGTGCTTTGAGAAGTCAGTATATCACATGCACGGAAGTACTTAATAAGTCCCCCACAAGTCCATTGTCTAAAACAATTGACAAACAAAATGGCGCAAACAATTTAGACGATTCTTAACGACCGTGTACATTTTCATATGGATTGAACAAATTAAAGAAAGTAAACTAAAATATTTGCGGACTCAAACCGTTCTGATTTAAAGTAATTACGAAACACGAAACGTTAGACATCTGGTAGGTCATCCTAGATGGGGGATCGGATTATCTCGAGGCTTTAGTCCCACACAGCAGTGGAGAGTAATAAACAAAACTTGAGTACGGACAGACGCCGAGCTATTAAAAAAATTCACATCTTTATACAAAAAAAAAAATTACTAACTGCACGAAACAGTCGTCGTTATAGAGTAAAAAAGAATTTCGTGAACCCGTAATTATCATTAATGTGTTCGCAACAACCCGCAAGTGGACACTGAGCCTACTGAATCCAATTCACGCCCTTAAGTCTGCAAATATCTGCATATTTATATTTTCATTAACTACTGTATTCATATTACGACACGTACTATATAAGTGGCAGTGTTGTTTAATATTTGGTCACCCCTGAATACTAATACCGCTGGCACTGTCTGTCCATATTGGAAGGAATGTGTTCTTGTATCTAACGGATTGAACGCACAGCACAGCAAGCCAGCCAGCGAGCCTATCACCCACTTCACTCTAGCCAGAAGTGCATGCAACATATGGTAGATGGCATAATGTCACATGTACAAAACCCATACAGACGACCTTGTTCTGAGAAATATATGATGGCATTCTCTCTCTCTCTAGTAGTTTCAAGACATCGAAGTAACGCGTGGGTGGATATATCGTCCATCAAAACACTTCCACTACACAGTAATAACATCGATTTATAAGTTTACTACTCACTACAGCGACATTTGCGTACATTCATAAACTGAAAACCTGCTTAAATTTCACGGAGCAAAGTCCTTCTTGACAAGCTGACAACAGATCGAGATAGTCCTTAGCCAAATTTTCACATCCGAAAGTTAATTGTCATATTCCCAACAGCCCTCCAGTGGTCCCAACCCTAAGTCAGTTGAATCTCATCTTATTTCTAGAAGACACATTTTAATATTATCAACCATATCTTTTCCCTTAATGCCTTCCGATTAAAATTCTGTAAGTATTACTACGTTCCACGCCCATCAAATCACACAATATTCGGTCAACAGTATAAATTACAAAGGCCACCTTATCTTAATATCGTTATTTAACTATATAATCAAAATTAGGTGACTATAATTCACGTGAAATTCTTGATGAAGGTACTTATTTTTGACTTATTAATATATATAAAACTGTCATTAGAAGTTGTTTTACGCATTGTGTAATCACTCGAAGATAAGCTAACCCACCAGAAATGTGTTGCATTTTTTTTATACTTAGAGTGGGGATGAATCCATATAATCACATGCCTGTGACTCCAATATTGATAATTACCGTAAAACAAACAAAACAAATGTCGACAATAATGTAACTACAAATATTTTCTCAGACGTAACTGTTTACAAACATAAAATAAAACTGAACTCACCGGATCCAGATCTGAATCCCATAACTCCTTTAGGTCAGTTGTGCCAATATCATAAAACGTTCTGTCCACGGAAAATGTCTCCATTTTAAATTTCAGAACACACACACACACACGTTTAAATTAATAAACGATATCGTACTGTGTTCTTATTAAATGTATGTCAGTATATAATTCTCCCTTTATTAAGTCAATTGGCACTATATTGTCAAGTGATCACGTTCTTTTAACGTGAAAGCACAATTGTGATAACTTTTATATTCCGTTTTCCTCAACACACACACATCAAGTCGATTATACAATTAAATGTTTCACGTCGCTGAAATAACTGTACCATTCACTTGCATGTTCTTAACACACGCTTGTGATATTACGTAATTAATTAATTCAATTTAAATATCAATAGGAACTTCTTTCAATCCGTAACATAAATCAGTTCGCTTAGAGGAACAGAATAACAGAAGCGAGTTATAAACAAGTCTGGAAGGGGGGAGGGGAATTGTCCGTTTCCTTTTCCGGTACGAAAAGAGATACTTAAGGAGGGGCTGGCGAATCGCAGTGAAGCGAGAGGAAACTGTAATATCTTCCTATTACAATACGGACACTAGAGGTGGAAAACAAAACGTCTGCAAGCCGATTTCGATATTCGAAGTACACTGAAACACTTCCTGGTGCACTGTGTATAACATGAGAGAATATTTCGAGAAATTTCACTCGCTGATAACCTACACCACCACCAACCACGACAGGCACCTGTTGACTAACTTTCAGTACACATTTGATTAACAGCGAAGTCACCAGTGAGGGGAGTATCACAAACACTGAACGAATCCGAGAACTTAAACTCCCTCCACCCACCTACAACAACCAATCACAACTGTTCCTTCGGCTAGTAAGCTGATAAGGGTGCACGTAATTCCGTAGGTTAAATCCACAGCACTTATTAAAGAGAGTTTAAGATAAAAGATACCAACATTTCGAATTCTTATCAAGGGGTCAAATGTGGAAGCCGGATGTTTCCATGTTTGTCGAGTCTGATGCAAATGTCACACGGCGAAGCGCACTAGCTACTCGGTTGCTGGCCGGCGTCCTTCTAAGTGCTGTCTCTAGCACGAAGTATGTCCCCTCAACCACTGCTCCATGAGAAGGCGGAGTCAGCAGTTTCAATGACCTTTAGAATGCTATGCTTCGCGTTTCGCCAAAGTTGTCTCTGATTGGTCGACTTTCAGGAATGTGGAATCTTTATGCCTTCTTGCACACTTTCAAGTTTAAATTTGCAACAGTAGCAAGAATCTCTTAAACATTTTCTGCAAGTTTCCTTTTTTATAACCTTTTTTTTTCCTTATTGTTGCTTCATATCTGCCAGCTTCTATTATGAAGTACAAAGTTTGTTTATGGTTGAGTAAACTTCGATGTTAGAAATGTGAAGTTTATCGACAATAAAGTTTAAAAAGGACGAGACGGAATATATTGATAGCATATTGTCCATTTTACTGCAACACTGTTGTTTCCTCTCTTCACTCCGGTGGACTTTGGTTACGCCCAATAATCAGCTGTGCGGGACAACGCGAAATCGATTGCCACCTATTAGTGATTCTAGCAGTCTCTTCTTATACTTCGGTGGCTCTAACGATAAAAGGAGCTTCACTCTTAATTTAACTTCAAACACTACCACACCTTCTTGCCTTACCTCAGTTTGATTAATACCAAACGGGGGCAAATAGTGTATTATATTAATGGATCATGGGCTGGAATCACAAAAAATGAACACAAAATGTGGGAAAATATTAGACTGAGAAATTGGAATTTCACTGTATTATTCCACAAATTAGAGACTGGTTTCACTGCTGCCAACCTACCTTCAACCTTTGTTTAAACATCAAAGGGACAAGACACGTATATGGAGATGGGTATTACAGAATTTCCAAAAGTTTTGCTGTCACAATGAGATATTTTTATTACAATAAAAACTCTTCTCTCCCAATGATTTTTCCTCTCCACTTAAGGTAACGAACACTATTATCCATATGCGTACACTAATGTGCCAGCCAGCAGGAAGTGGGATTTGAGCAGTCAAAAATTACAATGGTACAGGTCATTTGAACATTCTTTAGTGGCTTGGTACACAACACTGTAACGAAATAATTTAAAACATGCAGAAAGGGGGGCTACACACTCATTTCAATGCTGCACACTTTATTTAAAATGATAAACAATAAAAAAATAATATATATATAAGTTGAATGATGCACAACCACATCAGCAGGAGCCCCCCTTCATTTTACAACAAAATCAAGATTATTGAGAACAGAAATCAAAAGAGTAGAGTAGAGTAGATAAAGCTGTCAATGACGACAGAATTGTCAGGAGAAGAAAATCCAACATAAACATTTTTCGCTGATGGACTTGCAGAATATTTTAATCTAGGTAATTACGAAAAATGGAACCAAAAACCAGAAGGAAGTATAATGTCATCAAGTTACAATGCAAGAATTTGAACTGTAAAAAAACTTTGTCAACAAAATCAAATGTTTTACATTCTGTTATAGAATATGCAGCACCCATGTACAGATTTTGAAAGAAAAAAAAAAGGTCTCAAACAATTTTCACCATTAACTACATTTTCCTGTGTCGTTATATAGACCCACACAGAATTTGAGGAAAAACAATGCTCTCTTCACATCACACATAATAAAAATTGCTACACGTTTAGTACGCATTTGCAAAACAAGTGAAAACTGTTTTAAGACTAATAGATATTGTCAAAAAGCAGGAAGATCCATTATGGAAATCAAGACTTAAGAAGAAAGAATTAAAGACAGAAGTCATTTTACCACAGACTATTCAATTCACTCTGTGCTAGAAGGGCTCCAATTATCGGTCGAACGAGGTGTCCAGATGTTGTTCAGTGACCGAAATGGATCAAACCCAAGACCTTGCTGTAATAATGAAATGTTAACATTAGGCCCATAACACCATAACTTTAGATATTTTCTGTTATACATTTATTTGTTTAAATTAAAAATATATTTGAGTAAACTTCTCCGCACATTAAAATGACACGTAAAATGTCTACTGCGAAAACGAAGTATAAAATGGATGTACATTTGAACTTTATAGTTGGAAGGGTCCATTTTCTTAAAAAAAGGAAACTCTGCTTATGTCAGTGCCAACTCATACTTACATCAATGTCAGCTGCGTTATCTTCGTCAACGTTATGGGACGCCTCCTGTCTAATTGGTGTGGGCGACACGATGGGACTGGGCACAGAGGAGACAGATGAAGCGATGGAGCCCGTTCCAGTAGACCACGGAGATGACGACCACACCGAGTTCACAAATGAGCCCCACACCGAGACAGGAGAAGCATCGTCTTCCTCCGATACTTTCGGGGCGCTATAAAGAGTAGCATCTGCCACTGCTGGAGTATACAGAGGGTCCCACAGAGAATGAGGCCATAATTCTGTTAAAAAAAAATATATAAATAATTATATTCAGTTAATTTAAAATTAAGAAGGATGAAAAACTGATACCTATGTGCAAAAAAACAAGCAGACATAAAATATACCACAAAACAGATTCGAGGAAACTTTGCGCGATACCTCGGAATGCGTTTTGATACTTCTCTTCCTTCCGTTTATGCGCTTGTTCCATCAACAGGTTCTCTTGTTTCCATACCATATCACTCATAAACGGGGCCGACTCTGGATTTTCATCTACCTGTAATACAGCAAGCATTTTTAGAATGTAAGTAACAAATTCCTTCCACAAATACAGAGCTCGGGACACTTGCATTTCTTAATAAAGACGGCTCGGACACTTTTCTTTAACAACTGCCAATAAAAAAGGTCAGCGTCACGTCTGATGACCAAGGAAGCCACAGCTCTGGTCCTCATTAATTAGTTACAGAATCTAACCTGCAGTGACTGAGTTGTCTCAGGGAATGCACCAAGAAAAAAGCTTGAAGATTTCTTCTGTGGTAGAAGCTGCGACGATGATGACGACGATAGTGACGGTGACAGCGATTTGCCATAAACCTCCCAAGAAGAAGACGATGAAGACGGAATTTTGGTCTTTTTTGGACCTATCGGACCTAAACACGAAACATCCGACGCTGATTCTTCAAATTAATTTTATAATGTAAACGTTAATAAAGATATTACTCGAATATCTTAAAAAATACACACATTAACACACAAGTACTGAGAACAGGATATTATTTGAGGATTGAAGATTTAGCTATGTATAAAACGCTGCGTTGCTCCACACTAAGCAATAATTAGCGTTAGCAAATGGTACTCACCGAGTCCAGACGTAATGTTGGTAGAAGTGACAGGCTCTGGTGCTTTCCTGGTAGCAACAGTGCTACCAATACTGCTACATACAGGCAGAGATGACGCCACCTGCGAAAACTGCTGCTGTGACTGCTGCACGTGTTTGTGTGGAGCCACGATATTCGAATAAAGAGAATTGTCATTTCTTGCCACTACATCACTAAATGTGGCTCGTTGTTCACCCCAGCAATTACTTGAACGTAACGGAGGTGATACTCTATTGTTACAGTTCCCCAAGCTGGTAGATTCCACCACATGTGTTGGTCCTAAACACATCACATAAAATACATTAAAACTTACCCCACTTAATGGTACCTGCGCCTTGTCGTGGTGGCGGGGCTTGCGCACCTCGGTGACCCCAAGAACTACTGGTAGGGCCTCCCTAGCCAGATTGGTCGAGGGGGAGAGGTCAGACTAAGACAGGTACCCTGGTCCTCCAGGTTGGGGGTTGGTCACAAGGGTAACAACCTTGCGCCGTAAAAAGGAAGACGTTTCGAAACCTCGATCAAAGCCTCGAACAGATGGACATAACAGAGGACTGAATGGAAGAGGAGAACTGAGGAGGCCGTGGACCGAATACGGACCGGAGAGCCATAGAAAAAGAAGACATTAAAACTTACAAAACTATAATTTCACATTAAGATTGTGGTATTGTGGGGTCTTGCAAAATGTAATCTTTTGGTTATACATCAAAGTATTGCACAAATGTGCTACCAGCATCTTTGTGGTTAAGCAGGTTCCTCCAAAACACTACACTGCGCAATAACCGATAAGACCACAATCTAAACTCACGTCACCAAAAAAAAAGAGCCTACTTTTATGCGCCTGTGGTACCTGGTCTCCTAACCACAGGGAAGAACACAGATTGAGGGTATTTCAAAACAAGGCGCTCAGGAAAAATATCTGAATCTAAGACGGATGATCCACGTCTAAAGAATGAACTTGTCAAAATGGTACGTCACTATGACGACTTCATCAGATTTCATATTACAACACAAGCCTACTGACCCTTTGAATTTCCAGTTTTATCGGTTGTGCGCCTCTTAAGTACATTTCCATCTTTCCGATCTCGACTGGTATTTTTAGACGACTTCAGTTTGTATGGTAATTCTAAACTCAGTGGTCTAGGGACATCAGTGCTACCAATGGTGGACGTCTTGTTTGATCCAACATCAAACTCCTGCTGCTGCTGTGTGCGTTTTACCAGCACTGATTTGTGACTGGACTTCCAGCGGCTAGTGAAATCCTTCCTCTTTTGAGCCTCTCGATCATAATCATCATCATCACAATCACCTTCGTAATTATCTCGGTAGTCAGAACTATGGTTATCATTCTTTGCCGTTGTTTTGTGTGGTCTGCCTAACGATCGTGTCCCACACGAATCTCTTTCCTGGAATAAATATTCACAACATAAATTAAATATATAAATACACAGACACACATAATTTGTATGGTAGAAAAAAATACATAAAATACAGGAAGTTCCCTCAAATGTTAGATTCCTTCTTCAAAAAGAAAATATATTTAAGTTTATGACGTGCCTTTTCAACTTCATCATTGTTTGAGCTTTCTGTTGTTGTGGATGAAGTTTCCTCCTCTGAACAAATCATGGGTTCTGGATGAACTTTATTCTTCTTGAACGCTTGACCGAGCCTTTTCCCGTCTTTACCGCTCTCCGCGGTCTTCTTGCAGTTGGACTCCACAGCCACGCAATTTGCCGTGTTTGCCGGCGCTTTCAGTTCCGAATCTACTTGTCTGGATTTTAAAGTAGAAACTCCTTGACTGGACCTCGAAAATACACTCCCCCAACTTTTCTTCAACACTGGAATTTCGTGTAATGACTCAGAAAGTACAGGCGCATCACTGTTATTGCTGTTTCGTTTTCCAAGCTTCCTCTTATTTTTTATTGCAAAAAGTGGAGTCGAAGAATTTGAACAACCTCCTTCAGGTTCGTAATATTTCGCGCACACTGACCCCTCCTTCGCGTCTATTTCACTCATTATATGCCTGTCATCAACCACTGTCCAATTGTCATTTTTGCTAGATGAACTTCTGTAAGTGTTATTTGAGTTGTGTGACGGCCCTTTCAAGTGCTTCTGCGTTTGCGGAACTGATGAATGAATATTCCACTCTCCCACTTCTTCCTGTTTTCCATTACATGATTTACTTTCCCCAATCTTTTGACCACTAGGAGAACTCTGTTTTACATCAGACAGTACACAGCTGGCTCTGTCTACTTCCATGGCTATGAGGGCACACCTAAGTATACGATCCGACTCGAAGAATGCGGCGGCAAGAACACAGAATAGAAGAAATGCCATGAAACTAACAGCTGAATAATAAAGTAATGGTTCCCAGTCGGGGCGACCCAAGACGCTGGAACAAGATACCAGAAAGTATGGCGGCAAAGTTGTAATTAATGTGTAATTAACTGGTATGCCAAGACTAGTGTCTATACTCAGAGTACGCTGAATACGAGAAAGTGTAAAATCTGGAGTGAACGCTATGTCGATCTTGTGCGTGCCATTTGGCGGAAGATAAAACGCTCCGCAGTTAAGTATCCGGAATCCGTAACCTTCGCAAGGAAGTCCGTTAATGTTAAAACCTGTCACGTGGATCGGCAAATCACCGGTGTTGCGAGCAGTAAAAGACCTCTTCACCGTGAGATTTGGTACCGGGAACTTGCGATGTTTTTCTCCTAAAAACAAATTATGCATGAGATTTCAAACACTTGATAACTTTCTCATACAAAAATTAAATTATATTCCAATCAACAACTTACAAATATTTTTCTTACAGAAATATACATTTTTGCTTTTTCATTATCATAAACTGTCTTTAGGCATGGTATAAGCAAAGTAAGAAAACATCGACTTACGTTCACAATCTTTAAGAAGTTTCTCTGATAATTCAAACAGAAGAGGAGTCCCAGATCCTGGTTTTCTGTTTCCAAATCGGAACTGCGCATGTGAAGCCTGCCCTATAACCTGCACAACCTCCAATACCGTCAGGTTGTTTCTCACGTAGATAAGCGCCGAGACGGGCCCAGCTTTTACGGGCGAGAAGCCCAGTCTCGCACGAACTGTTTCACCGGGTTGTATCAACATGGCAAAAGTTTCTCTATGTACTGGAACACCCAGTTGACTCTGCAACATGGCGCTAGGCCTGGTGCCTTCCGCCCACGTAAATTCTCCATGTGCCGAGTTTGAGCATTCTTTACAATCAGGACGAAATCTATTAAAAATAATCGTGACTTAGAAAACAGAATTAAAAGATAAAACCGTCTTACTTATGTACATCTGAGGGCCTTGCTTGTTCATCTCGTACGTTTTGTGCTATATATCTAAAAAATTTGAGGAAATAACAGACAGAATATGGTGCCATAACCCAAAAGACCATATTCCAAATTTTACTGCCTTGAAAACCTCATACATATTACTATATTTGTTAATATGACACCAACCTTTCTGGAAGGCTGTCCAAGAAATGGTTTCCCTGTACATAAACAGAGTCGAGAGCCAACTGAATAATCACCACCTCTGACGAAGGATTTCTCAGGACAAGTTCCTTGTACGATGTGTTCCCAATCTGCGTAACAGGAAAGGTGACAGCAGCGGTGAAGCCATCTTGAAGCGAAGACAAAAGTTTGGGCCATGTGAGTCTTACTCTGGCCTGGAACATGTGGCTCCGCACCTCTGTGGTATCTAAACGCAACGTAAAGTTCTGCCATACTGACGACCCGCCATCTGTCAGTGCCAGATAACGGTTATACCTTATGTTCAACAACACCAAATCTGTATCTTGCGCATGAATAGGGAGTCCCAGTACATCAAGCCAGTGACTCCCAACTGAAAAGGAAATTACAAAATTCATACACTTCTGAAACTCGTAAAAGACAAATATTAAAACTAGTCAACTTAATGCAGAAAAGTCATTCTTGACAAGTTAACTTGTCTGGTCAAGAAAATTCCCGTCTCTTACATAACTCAAGCAGTCGGCCACTACGATACATTTCTGGTCTACCATGTTAGAACATCTTTCTCCATGGACCACTTGCATATGTACGAAGATGATCACCGATAATGTTGAGTACGCAGACAACAGGTAGTACGTTATCAGTCTTAAAAGATCACATCTTAGGGGGCACGTGAAATTTAAAAAAAAAAAATTATTTTATGATAAACACTGAATAATCAGTAATGTAATTTATTTTAGTTGTAGATTATATACTATGTATAACTTGAATTATACACCAACAACTTTGTGGGTACAAATTTGGAAGAAAAATTATATCTGGGGGTACGCGAACAAAAAAAGGTTGAATACCACTGCTCTAAAGCACATTAATCTCAACTTCAACCATACAGATAGAGGCAGCATGTTCTTCAGACACGTTGGTACGCAACCAGAAGAATACAAGGTGCAACAACTAAGCAAACTATCTCAGGTATTTTACTTATAAATTGGAGTCTTACTTACGAACTCGGTTCAGTTTCACATAAATATAACAGACTTGTGGGTAATTTTATATTCATATTATTTAATGTTAAACTAAACTTATTTCATTACTAAAGACACATCCCACACAACTGATATGATTCCAATACAAACAAGTAAATGGGACACTGACGACAAAACAAGACCAGAATACAATGCACAAAACAAATGAACACTCCTCGGGTATGAACGAAACACGTAACACTGACGACTAGTTAGCTATCCCAAGAGAATTTCTCACAATCCACATGCATTTAAGAAGGTAAATGTTAGCGACTAAATTAAAATAAAATTAAACATGTTACACCGAATTCTGAATCTTCAATGCTTGCCTTACTATTTTGTATAATTTATAGAATTTGAGGTTCTCACACGAGTCCGAAGACGGCTGTCTTATGGGTTGTAATGCTGTACAGTCTGGTTGAAGTTTACCCATTTCAGAGGTCTTCGGGTCCTCCGCCAACAAGGCGATAATGGAGGCAGTATGGCGTTACAATCCAGCCATCTTCATCATGCGTAAGTTGGTTTGGTAAGTTAGTGTAAAAATTATTATCTGGGCAAACCCGGACGTGTAATGTCCTTTAATCTACCGAGTACCACTCCCAATAAATTTGTTTCAGAGAATAAAATTTCCCAAAATGTTCACAGGAAAAATCTTTAGATTTGAAAAGTTCCCTGAGTTAACAGTCCCACACATACACATTTCTAACACAAAATGTACACAAGCTTACATAAAAATCATGCAAAATCATGCTTTTAAGTAGTAAAATAAACACAAATAAATATTACGACAGAGGATGGAAAAGTTCCAACAACTGGACAAATACAAAAATAATTATTTCACATGAAAAAGTAAACGATAGGACAGTCTTACGCAAATTTCTTCACAAAACATAAAACGTTCTGGTGCCAAGAGACCTGACACAATTCTTTTATACAGGTTGTATGACAAGTTCAAAAACATTGATCCTTGAACTCTCCTTGAATAAGATCATCAAGTGGTTAGCACTCCTGCTTTGTAACCAAGAGGTAAAGTAAAGCTGTCCCACTATACACCACGTAGGCGCTTGGGGGGGAGGAGGAGGTAGTATAGCTGCTACTCATTCTTAACCTCAGCACTAGGTGGGGATGAGTGGTTAGTGTCACTCCCCAGCTGCACTTTACTCCCGGGAAAGGACCCCAGTAAAAATTGTATAGGAGGCTGGGTGGGCCCCACAGTCGGTCTGGAGGCTAGACGAAAAATCCTCTGCCCCCGTCGGGGATCGAACCCCGGTAATCCAGTCTGTAGCCAGTCACCATACTGACTGCGCTACTCCGGCTCATGCATCCAGGAGGTACAGGATTCAAATTCTGGCCCAGAGACTGGCTACCCAGAGTCGCTGCCTGCAGGCAAATTTGGGGATAGTGCTTCGACTTACGCCATGACAACTTCCTTACACATCTTTTCCAAATCATACTTCATCCCATCCTTTGACACCATAGTCTGAGGTACTGATAGTGTCGTTAAATAAAACACTAATAAATGAAGAATACGTAGCAACATAAATTTCAAAGTTACCAAAAATACAGCTCCAGATAAAATTTCGTACACCACAAAATGTTACATTTGGATAAGGGCACTGATGACTTAAGACATTCAAGAAACTTTTCCACCCGTAACAACATCGTCTCCACTCCTTACTTGTGGTATTTGCTGATATCCCAAGATAACACTGATCTCTGCACCCAATAGCTGGGTTGAACGTCAGCACACCAATTGAGCTGATGTTAAGTGGCGATATGGGAGGTACAGGTAAAGTGAAAGAGCTGTCATGTTGTCTCTTGTACTCAAAGCTCACTTGCGGATCTGGCGGCACACTCGCAATGCCGGTCACGTCCATTTCTCGATTGAATAGTGACCGAACATGAAGCTGTTGCATGCATACCTTCCCCTGAGAAAGAACATCAACGATCACACCACATACTCTGAAGAGAAGCCAGCTACAGCTGGGCTATTAAAATCGCTGTCACGTTCATTTAAAAGTTTAGCTTTTACATTCAACCTACGAATCCACATGGCATCACAACACAGTAGACCACCATCAACATCTTCAGCTGGGTTACAAACTTGTAAAAACTATTAAACATACCCTCAGATATTATTAACCCACAGGTTTATCGATACAAAGGGTTTCCAGCCAGTAAACTGGAAAGTTTACGGCTTTCGCCTGCTCCCTTTCCCCAACAAGCACGTTCTTTAAACGTGACTAACTACTTCACACAAACACAACAAATCATAGTACTCACAGGAAAGCAATCATCAAGCACAAGTGATTCTGGAACTATCTCAAGATTCCCGTGTAATACCGTCATCCTTACTGGGATTACAACGTGCTCAAATTGAGTCTCAACAAACACTTCAGCTATTATATCCCCTTCAGTGTTTGGAGCCGTGACAGACACTCGGAATACAGCGTAATGTCCTCCCATAAGAACCAGCTGCAAACACAAAGATGCGACTGCAATGTAGCTCTGTCGTAGAGCTAGGTAAAGAACCGAAGTAAACAAAACAAAAAAAACAGTAAATTTTGTACGCAAAAAAACTCTTACAACAGAGCTCATATCACGAGATACACTTAGCAGCAAAGTCGGCATGCAACAGAATTCAAATGGTCCATTTAACGTTTCTGTACGCGAGGCATATTTATAATGTCTACAAATGCAATAGTTTTGTGTCTAAGAGAAATGGAATAATTTATTTATCTGGAAGGCTTCATTACAGACGATCTACATACTTACGTAAGATTTTCCATTCTCGATAATGAACCTTCTAATAACACAGTCCCCATAATACGAATCTGTCACAGTTTACGTTCAAAGTTACAGAATATTACATGATTTCTCATTTATCTCGCTTTACCCCCAGGAAAGGACCATGGTAACCATTCAATAGGAGGCTGGGTGGGCCCCAGAACTGGCCTGGATGCAGAGGCTAGAGGAAAAATCCTCTACCCCCGTCGGGGATCGAACCTAGTCATCCAGTCCGTAGCCACTCACTATACTGACTGAGCTACGCCAGCTCTTTATAAGACCATCAACCACCATTACTACTTACTGTTGTGTTCATATTACTGAAACTGTGTCGCTGCAGTACAGTTAACAGGTTCCCCTCTTCCACTCCAATCAATTCAATTAGCGTGCCTGTCGTATTTGTACCCCAACTTTTCAGAAGTACTGCAACTGGATTCTTATTAATGACAGCAAAATGAGCTTCCTTTTGACTAGAGGTCCCAACCGTTCCAAAATTTAAATCTGTTTCGTTAAATCCCGATAAAATCACCTGCAAGCACGTACACAAACATTAATATAATTCTTACTCTTCTTACAAAAACGCAATTCTCATGTTTATTAATCTAATAGAAAAGACAGAGCCCAGCGACAAAATCCGACACTGGAGGGTCAACAATCTTAAAATGAACACCTGCTACCAGATCCAATACTGAGCCAGTTCAATCCAAACAACATAAATCTTTTCAGATTTATACTCTGATCTTTCCATATAAATCTGAAGCTTTCACGGTGACTAAGTATCTTCTCAGGCTAACAGCTGTGTCAGGTGGTTAAGTAGTGAAAACACTGCACTTCAGTAGCCTGAGGATGAGGAATGTTTTTGAAATGGTGTTTTCTGCATTAAACCATCAAATTTTTAACACCATAAAAACTAGTGATGTGACTTCAATAATTTAAATGATGCTTTACAAAAAACCTGCGTGTGCATGCAGGATAACGCTTATTTCTGCTAAAACAAAATCATTTCACTTCTCCTCTGCAAGTAAGTACGCATAGTCACTGGAATTTTTCAAATCCCTTGTGCATCTTTCGAAAAAGGTACCAAAAATAGAACAGCAACTGCTTTATCAATCTGCACGGTTTCAATGCCGAAAGACTTACCTTCATCAACCGTCCATTATAGCATAAAAGCGGAATTGATACCGTTGAAATATTTGTGTGTAAGAATAGACTTGATTCGAGTTTCAACTCTGATTCAATTGTTTCCTTTTTGACAGCTAGCTGGAACAGTAAAACCTTCTCCCCTTCACCAAGGACTACAGGTGAAAAATTTTTAATCTAGAACAGGAACATCAGTATTAATATTATAACGTTAACAGATAATGCCGTTAACAAAACTCAGTATGCCACAGACAGTATAAATATCGGTGTTTATAAGAATAAAACATAAATAATTCTGATACAACATATAAAACACCAAAGTTTTGTAAAGAGGAAATGGAATATATCAAGGATTTGTGATTTGGTTTAGTCAGATACAGTTTCTACAAAGCAACAAATCCTAAATTTCTCCGCAATTTTAAAAAATTTAACAAATTTCTCAGCATACTGATAGAATTCCATTTCATACGCTTTATTGTTCCACGTATGTAAACGTGCAACATAAAATATGAAGATTATAAACCATATTCAAGAGCATAATTCACTTTCCCAAAATACCATAATCTAATGTCTGGATTCAAGATTTATGTAAACATTTTAGACCAGGGAAAACGTCATCATCCGTTGATCCATCGACAGAAGTGAAAAATTTACTCTGAAGAGCAAGACAGCCCCCATACAGTACCAGCAACAGAACACAGCTTGTTTTCTTTCATTAAAAATCTTCAAGCATTTAATTCAATCCTCTTATCATGACCGCAGCCGTCATGTCTTCAACACGGCACACCATTATTCATCGCATTCACATGGCCGCATGTTACAAATCACGTGACATGTGGCGATGAAGAAGAATGAATCTCCATCAATTCAATATTTTCTCACTTGCTCCACCCACACATTCACTTTCGTGCGCACGGAACTCAATATACACTATTGTTCTTAACATATTAGCAATTATATTTAAAATGATCTTACCATAAAATGAGGTTGTGCTTCCTCGGGAAGGGAAACATTTACAAGTGCCACCGGTATTTTGAATTCATTTGTTACAGTAAAATTTCTAACACTGAGATTCAATCCCAAGTCGGAAGAGTAATGAGTGACGGAGGCATTAAATTCCAGGCCACCTTCAAACACGTGAGCCAAATAAGGAATCACTAATTTCTGCTGGCTCTGCTTGGTCTTTATCAGAAGCTTACCGCTGAAAAGTTGGGTTTCAAACGCAGTTTTCCCTAAAGGAACAGAAAATAAGAAGAAAGATAACACTGCAAATTACCATATATCATTACAATATGCGGTAACTTATTTATATATGGGCTGTTCATTTACACGTAAATGAGGAGCTAATTTTCCACAAAAATACTGAAATTCTACATATTTATTCTCGAAACATATTTATATAATAATAATAATCTGTGGCGTAACAGCTCCAGAGAGCCAGAGCCGACGAGCTTGACTGCTGGCCTCACGTTGACATGCCTAAGCAGAGGTGAACGATCATCCAACCAGATATAGGGTGACGTGTGGTCAGCACGACGAACCCCCAGCCATTGCTAGCAGAACTGAAGCAATGTAAGTGAATAAGGACGTCCTTCTGGGTTATGACGCTGTGTACACTTGTTGGTAGATGCCAACACTTCAGAACACAAACACTGATTTTATTAACGCCAACAAGTCCAACACCACAAAAAATACATTAATTCCCAAATCCTACTTACAATCAAACGTTAAAACAGCTACTTGTGTCGGCGAATTTGAATCTGGCGGAACTTTGACAGGCTGAAAATCTATTTTCAAAGCTTTTGATACTGGAGTGGCAATAATATTCTGAAAAAGAAGTATCACAAATTCTTATATATCATACCTTAGAATATTCCTGAAAAAGTTGAACTACACATGTAACAATGCCGTTTTCAAATTGATATAGCATACTTGTATTCGAATCACTTTCTTCAATGAGTTATAAAGCAGAAGCCTGACTTCCTTTGGTTTGTCTCGGCTGCCCCCGATTCCAAAATCTAATACGTCGTCTGTTGAGTACAAGCCGATATTAGAAGCCACTTCTACTTCCACCGGCACAACCAGAACTTCGTCGCTGTTATTCACCCTGAATCTGGAGCATAACAAAAACAGAAAAGTCAATGACCTCGGTAAAGAACGGAAGTTTCAATTTAATATGCAGATCACGTTCTGAAGGAAGCATATCCAACATTGATCCGTCAGGGTCTGGACAACCACGGTTAAATTTCTGGCAGGAAGACGACTTCTTAGATGGTCACCAAAATGTCAGAGAAACCTGTCTTCAAGTCGGAAGACTTTTTTTTCTTTTTGGGGTTGTCTTGTAGGCGATTGTCATAGGATTCATTGCCTCTACATTAAAGGTAAAAGATATTGCTGTTCATAAATATGTCTCCAGTTACTGACACCTTGAAACAAATGCCTTCTAGAGAAGCTGATATTTTCTCAACTGGTCAATAAATTCCCCACATTTTATGTAACCTGAAGCTCGTTATCATGTTTAAATAAGACTGTTACTGGTTTTCCCCCTCAAACACTTAAAACCATTCCATACATACATATCCTCTTTCTTTAAGATCAAATATATTATCCTACTAAATACATCGTGGTCTTTCGAGAAGGCACATCCCTTCATGTCTTCCAATTAAAATTTTTTATGCATTTCTCATCTCTCACATGTGCTACATTCCCAATGCAACTCATCTTTGAATGAATCATCCTAATATTTAATAAAATCATATAGCTCCTCATTAAGTAATTTTCTCTGGTCTCCTATTTTCCTGTGAATCTGTATTGTTCTTTCTGTATTTTGAGTGAGCTACCAAGTTTCACACCCATACAAAACAACATATAAAACCAATTTCTTTTATTTTAATCTTTGTGATTATAGTTTGGAGGTGGGAACATAACTTCAATAACACATTCTCTTACCGTGAAAATATTTTATACACAATGAAATTTGTACCTGATATACGCAGTATGATTTTTCTCTGTTGTGGCAATGAAATGAATCCTGATCACAGGTTTCGTACAAAAAGGTGGTATCTCCCATAAATTTTTAGGGCCTTCCTCTTCTCCAGATGGAAGTTTCAAATGGATATCACCTCCAGTACTGTAAATTTCAATGATCTAAAAAGAAAACAGAATTATATAAACAGCAAGAACATTTCTTGTATCGATGACTATATCAATTGCTAACGACTTTGCTTACTTGAATGGAAGTTGCATGAGGATTGTGCATATATATAAGTGGAGAGTATGTCGAGTTGAGCGGCACACGTACGCCCACGAGCGGCCTCAAGCGATAAGGGCTGCTGATACTTGTGCCCTTCACCTGCAACATATCACTAACTTTAATATTCAGTGCATTTATGGGCTTTGCAGGATTCTCACGACAAACAATGACTTTAACCCAATCGTTATTTAGACAAACTTAACGTTTCACAAGAGTGAACACATATTTTCATCATAAAACAGACTTTGCACAACCTGGTACTTGAAACTCCCTTCTGAAGTATGAATGAAAAGGCAGCTTTCCACCTCTCCTTCCTCCCGTCCCAAGAACACGACACTGAATGACGTATTCCCAAGTGGGGGGATGATCTGAAAGCATCAATTCGAGTGATTTTCCACTTGTCATAACGAACTCAACATTGATTTATTGTAAAATGCCCCTATACCCTTACCTTCTCTTCGAAAAATGAACTGTGAAAATGTGCTGTATCGCCCGATATTGAAGACAAGTGAATTGTTTTATTATCATTCACGTTGAAGAGTGAGACCTTCTTTTGGTGTGGTATCCCAAGATATCTATAAAAATACCACCAGTAAAATAAAAAACCATGAAGATAACTGCATAAGGAATGTCAGGAATATCAACAATACAAAAAAAATAAGGTACTTGTGGGTTATCGGGACACATCGCTTTAAAAATAGGTTAGGTTAGGTTAGGTTAGGGTAGGTTAGGTTAGGCTAGGTTAATGTGTGTGGATAAATGACATATACTTGAAAGTTATTATATTTTATTTCAATAAATGACAACTAACCTAACCTAACCTAACCTATTTTTAAAGCGATGTGTCCCGATAAACCACAAGGGCGAAAAACAATGCCACCAAATGTGATGTAATATTGTTCATACATTTGATCAAGTAAACTTTAAAAGGTGCTTATGAATCAAATATAAACACAAGCAATGACTAAGAGCAAAAATGGGCTGGATACCAATGCTATAATTGTACACGGACCTGTTTTATGGATGAAGGTGTACACGACTAGTTTCAGGCCAAAGTGTCAAAACAAAAAGCAAATGTTATCCAGTGTTCAGAAAATTTTATTCGAACTTAAGTCCTCTGGACAAATTGAACTAACCAAAATTAGGTGCCCAGGAAAATCACTTCCACAGACTTAAACTGAATTAAACATAAAATAAATCTTTACTAACCTTTCTTCGAAGTCTAATAGTGGTGGATCAAATTTTAAATTAAGTTTATCATTATACACAGAATTTTCATCTAAACTTGGCATCCTGTAAGAAATACAAAATATATTAATTCATCTTGTGGGTTAGCATCTGAAAAAGTGAATACAGCAATGATGTTATGAGAAAAAATATGACTCCAGCTTCATATAGAGATAATTCACAAATCAGTCCGTTACTTTTAAAATAGCAATCAATATAAATAAATGCATACCACGTGAGGAGCATGTAGGTTTTTTATTACTGAAAAATTGTGTATTTTTAACAACAAACAATTTACATTTCACAAGTAGCATAGTACGGTGGATTCCTGTTAATTGGGACGCACCGGGACTAGAACACTTTGGCTCGATTTAACGGCTGCCCCGATTAACCGGAATCTACTGTATATACCAACAGCATGGCATAAGACAAATAAACACTGGTATAAAAATTTCTTATAAGCTTCCTTCTGTTTTCTTTAATTATAATACAATCAACATGGGATGAGATGAGACCCCATGTGGCTGGTAGTTTTGTGATTGATTAATTAATTAACAATGCTGTACTAATTAATGTGGGCAGAATGATATATCAACATGGTTGTTTAGTACTGAAGGCTCTGGAATGTATCCATTGGTGGGTTGTAGTATTAGTAAGTTTTCACGTTCAGTCGCCATGGAGTTGGTTAAATATTGGTAACATTGCGTGTAAAGGCAAGGTAATGACCGAAGATGGGAGGCAGAGAAAATGCTGCGAGCATCTTTTTTGCTAAACTCATCTAGAACACTCTGGAGTTGAATCAAAGTCTTCTTCAAAGCCCTTATGGTCTAGCCACATGACCACTTGCTCCACGTTGACCACTACAAAGGCACTTGTCATATCATAAATGTGAAGCTAAGATAACTGAACAAATTACCACTTTCTTTTGGCAAAGCAACTGACATAAATATGTTATGGTATTGTAAGGCACCCATTTGATAGCCAGGACATATTGGAACTTGAATGCTCTCAGTGCATTGACAATTTTTATTTTAGCAAACTTCCTATTCCTTTCATGTCATAGTAAGAAACAACAATGTCTAACTAACTAACTAGATGGCTTACCGAAGGTTCATCACCGAATTAACCAAAGCCCTCCACCGGTCCCTGTCCTGGGCCAGCAAAATCCTATCGCCTTCAACTCCTATCTCCCATAGATCCCGCCTGATGTTATCCTCCCATCTACATCTAGGTCTCCCTAGCAGTCCCTTCAGGTTTCCCAACCAATACTTGGTGCACACCTCTTGCCCCATCCATGCATGCCACATGCCCTGCCAATCCCATTCTTCTAGACTTAATCATCCTGACAATATTGGGAGAGGAGTACAAATTTGTAAGCTCACCATTATGCAGTTTACAACAATGTCTCCATTTGTATTTTTAACAGCCTTATATTTCTCCAGCTTTTGTGCAGTCTGCATTATTTTAAACATGCTAATCTAAACAGCACACATAATCAGACAATAATTTTATGCTTCCTTCACCAAAACGTTCAGAAGTTAATACAGGCACACAGACATGATGGACTCCATATGCCTATCTGTCTTTATAATACCTGAAAAGCGAGCTAAAATATCACCAACAAAAAAGTATTCCAATCACTTACCCAACACCTGAAGAACCAGACAATTCCTGCAAAAACAGAACATTAGTATAATTACAAATAACAAAAAATACAATACCCAAAATTGTGTTATAAATCTTTACTGTCTAATACTGAATTATAAAATAATAATGTAATGGAGTTAATTAACTATACTGGTGTATTATTTCCAGTTGGGTAAACTGAAAATGGAAGGATATGAAGATTATTCATACACTGTTTCATGAACCTTAAACTGGGGGGGAAAAAATCTGATAAATAGTGTGTGAGCACAAGGAATCATAGTGTTCATTATTTTTACAGTTATTATACAATTCTGTCAGAAATTAGTGCTCCTTCTATTTGAAAATAACTTACATGACCTACTTCATTTAAGAATTTTAATAAAAATGCACACTGAGTTATTTATGTAGTAACATCTCTGATAAAGCTCCAAGCATTTTGTTCTGCAACATTTCTGCTACTGAGTAACTGTCAACAATATGACATTTGTATCATTATGTTGTCAATGTCAAATGACATAGTTGCATGGCAAAATAGAAATAATTTAAATCTGTATTTTACATTCGGTACTGCACCACCTGTAACACAGTTATACTAATAAAGCATTTTATAAAACTTATATAATTACGATAACGACAAGGTTTACCTTGTGCATTGAAGATGCTGCTATGCCAGCCACAAGATATCTAACTTCATTATTGGCTTGCATAAAAACTGGAACAATTAAACACATTTTAAATTTTACGCAATACGCAACAGGTAAAGGATATTATACACACACTAAAATGTAATAATCCAAGCTAATGAGAACACGTAAATGAAAGAGGCTCTGAATGATACGGAAACGGATTATACTTTCCTAGCACATTTGAAACATTGCACGGATTAGAATACCATAAAATATGTTATATTTACCACTTTCCTTCCCATGGGTGTTCCCGTGTATTGTCATTTTAGTTTTTACAGATACATCTAATAATGTTAAGATAAATATAAAAAACCAAACTGTGTGTTCAGCCATTCTCACTTCCATATTTTTGGATTTCGTCAAACAGCCAAACGGCGGCCATAACACTATCGATTAGTTACAAAATAACTCGATGACTCCATCGATTTAAAAAATTGGCAAAACAAAGAAATGGCACGTATCATATATCACGTATTTAGACCGACGTCTCATGAATTTCCACTCTTTTAAAGAACTGATGGTTAATGATCACAGTGCTGTTCAATGGATAGCTAATAATACTATCAATGGCAGCAGTAGTTCGGTAGATAACACAGTACGTTGCTTTTACACCACAAACTGCCTCCATTGGCATGCACTCTTCTACACATACAAAGAACATTCTGTTTCCATAAAAGGCAGGGAATTTTTTCACCAATGCTATACTGTTACTGGTTAAACCTTTTCTGAGAACTATTTTAATATTTAAATTCAATTCTCATTCTTCATACAAAGAAAACCCATTCATCTTCAAAATTCAAATACTTGGTTCTGAGTCTTATTTCCATTTAGCAGTTTCTGTATCTTATGTAGTTTGTTTCATAATCAGATCCACATTATTTAGGTATGTTGATTCCAGAATTCAATGCGTTTAATCCATCTTATACTTTTCCTTTTTACCAAGTTCCTCAACAATTTTCAGTGTGTCTGCTAACATATATCCAATATATTTCCTTTGACCAATAAGGGAAGAGCACAATTTACGCACAATGCTGTTTTCTTTAAAAAACATGTAAGAAACTAACCTCTCTCTTCCACTGGTTCCATGACTTGTTTGCTAAACCCACCTAAACTCAACATCAATCACTTTCCACAAATTCTTACGAGTTGCAGGAGTGCATAAGGCACCCTAAGAAATACAATCTGCTTACTCAATGTTTATAGTTTTAATAATTTGGATTTTTAGTACTTGCAAGTCTTGATAACTATTTAAATTACAAATTAAGTGAATTGTTAATTATCTTAATTTAAAAGCATAAGTCACAACTAATGACAATTACTTTGAATTATATTATATTGAATTGAGTGGTTTTGCTGTACCAATACATTTTCTTCAGGCAATACAAAACCCCTAGCAGTGGGCTTCAAAAGCATTGGTATTTAATGACAGCCAGCTTTTAAATGCCTGGCAGCGAATCTGCGTGGCTTGGAGCGTAAAGCACAGACATCAATGCTTTCTAAAAGGAGACATTAAAATGATTTACAGAGAAAAATACTGAGGAAGGAACAGTAGGATGGAAAGAAAAGAAACTTTATGATATTAATAAATTTCACTCTTTACCAAATATTATTAAGGTAATCAAAACAATGGAGAATGAAATGGACAGGATACACAAGTACACATGGAGACATAAAAATGCAACAAAATTTTAGTTAGGAAATTTGATGGGATGAGACCTCTTGGGAGACCCAGACATAAACAGGAGGATCAACCTTTTAAATCCATAGAAGGTGTAGAATTTGTAGACTACTGAGCAACTATTTAGCTTCTTAATGACTCCGCTTCTAGGGACAGAAATGAAATTGACTGAGGAAGAAATATATTTGGATTCTCTTACGCTCACTGTCCGCACATAGCAGGTTCACTTACAATGCCAGTTTTAACAATTATTAATTAACACCATACTGTACTAACTTCAGTCTAAAGCTCACACTATAGTCAATTTCAAAAACAACCTGCAATTATACAAATGTACACTGCATCCAATTTTCACTCATCATACCACTTCTTCACTGGGACAGCCATCAACTTCTTCTTGTACTGGCTCACTAGACTGCTGAATACTGCATCATCTTCATCAGGTTTCCTTTTTACCCCTCTTCTTGGCTGAAAGTACACAAAAGTTCTCTCTGTATGGCACCATACGAAACAAAACCGAATAGAGACGTAACCCAATTTCTTACGTCACTACAGAACAATTCCTCCTTACTTCTAACAAGAAATCTTTGTGGATTGTTTTCCAGTAAATAAATAAAGCTTTGAAAGCAGCACTGATTTAATAAAATTAATTGTTCTTACTGCAAACAAATAACTAGCACGTATACAAAATTGTTCTTACTGCAAACAAATAACTACCACTTATACATAACAGGATGCTGAAATTCCACTTACACAGAACATCTTACCTCAAACTCCCCACGTCTCTCACAGTCTTAAAACGTCTCTGCGTCTTGCATGTAACCTTGAAACTTTCCTGTGCTTCATAAAGGCAAAGACAAACCTGTCCTTAAGCACAAATGAATGGAAGTAAATTTCTAAGCATTATTAACCTCAGGACTATATGTGCCTCATGCACACATACAATTTGTCTGCATTCCAGTCTATTCTTCCTCTAAAATAGACTGCACGGCACAACAACCCAGAAGACTGCAAACTTCAGACTCAATGCTGTGAAAACCTCAAATCCTACAAAAGTATTGTTATCGAGTACTTAATGTGACTTACAAGCTCCGAGTTTTCATATTTACCTGTGGATCTTTCCTCTTTTCCTTAGTATTCCGCATTTGCTGGTCAAACATTCGTTTCTGTTTCTGTTTACGTTTATCTTTGTGTATTGACTGCTTATGGATTTCAGCTTGGCTCTTGAGTCCAAACCGAGTACGCAGTTTCTTACTTCCTGGTTTTGCTGTCACACCTAGAAACTGCTCAGTTTCCTCTGTCACTATTTTGCCGTTCTCTGCTCTGCTCTGGGCTGAATTTTCATCATCCCTTGATGAATTAGTCCTTTTATTACCACGCTTAACAATATTTTGACCTGTATAAAGCGGATTTTTGGCTCGACTTTTCTCCAAGCGTTTTTGCTTTATGTTCATAATAGCCTTGTTTTCTACAGAAAATGCCACAATTGGTCTCTGTAAACAGAACAATAGGTTGTATCAGAATAATTCAATAAATATTTTAATCTACATGTACAATACAATGCTTTAACCTCTATCTTACAAGCAACCCATACGCTAGGCTTTAAATCGTAGTACCTCATCCTACTAGTGACCCATATGCTAAGCTTCAGGAATTCTGATATTGATGCAATAACCCTTACCCTAGCCGGCGTAAAGATGTTTGGGTTGTTGTTAATACTTCTCAAAGCTTGCAAAGCATCCTCGTGGGTTGTAAAGGAGACAAAACCAAATTCCTTAGAATTTCCAATCCCCTGGGCATCAACATTTTTCATATCACGCATAACTCGTGCCTGAAACAAAATTGAATCACTCTGTTGTATGCAGTTCATGTTTCATGCTGATTCCTCTTAAATTGTGAAATATTTATAGACTGGACCATTCTACAGACGTGTAGGTTTTCGTATTTTATGTAATTCTGCTTCATCTTCGATTCATCATCAAAAGAAAAATACAGTCACAGTAAATTTACCATTCAGCACATAATTTCTAATTTACTTGTAAGTCCAAGGTTTTTTTTAAAGATAATGAATGTATGTTTCATAGAAAATGTATACATGAGATCCTTAATTTCTAATTTACTTGTAAGTCCAAGATTTTTTTAAAAATAATGAATGTATGTTACGTAGAAAATGTATACATGAGATCCCAATAATTCAACTATTATTAGAGTAAAACCTCTTGACATTTGAGGCACGTTCGCTTGTACCACGCTAGCCAGATTCATGAGGTGTTACCCACTTGAGAGTTGTCTGGCTGGTCACTGTAAAAGGCAAATGTAAGTATTATATGCACTCAGTTAAATCATCAGCAATTCAAACAAACAACAGTATCAAGCAAACGGGCGGTGAATACCTGATTATGCAGGAACAACCCCCATGTTTCTAACCTTAGCAATATCTGTTTTACATGTTTTAGTTCTGGTATATTTAACATTTTATTTTTTCCAAGATAATCATGTCTGTTCTTTAACACATAATATTTCTATAAAACAGATTAAAAATAATCTCATATTCAATGTAGATTAACCTGCACTACTGCTGCATACTACCACAAAAAATGCACATTTCTGCTGAAAGTGGTTAAAACCAACCTCCTTGATAACTGCCTTAGGACCGGCATGCTGGAGAAACAGGTGGCGCAACTTGGAATCATCCCAAGATGGAGGCAGGTTGTGAACCACCAAGCGAAACCGAGACACAAACATGCTGAGGTTCCGAAGCATCTGACTCTTCCACTGCTCCAGCTGTAGCCGCTTTTCCATGTCGGCCATGGAAACACCTCCTGCTGCTTTGCTCCCGGCTATGACCACTACAGAAATAAATGGACAATATTCTTTTTCTGTAAATGTATTTGATTTATATGCAATTTTAGACTATCACTTCTATCCTTAAGATGGAAGCAATGTTCCTCTAAAATGCTAGCAACCACACAATGTGATTACATGATATCACAAACCTGGAGAAATATCATATTTAAAATTACCATTTTACTAAATTTCATGTACTTAACTATGACATACAACAGTTCATAAGTCACTGTGGAAACAGTCATCAGGCCCATGATCAAGGCAGCAAGCATCTCTGAAACGCTGATCAACTTCTATGAGACTATAGTGTACAATATCTCAGAAGTCATCTTCAAAATAACAGCTGTATGATATTCTTTGCTAGACCACAGAACACATGCAGTTTTTGGGTGACGAGGACATTTCTAGTTTTCAGAGTAGGACTTTTAACATGTTCCAAGCTTTTCACACAACAAAAATAAATTACATTAGATAGAAAGTGGTGTTAGAAAAATAAGTCCCAGATAATCCAATACAGTACTTAAAGAAAATTACATTAGATAGAAAGTGGTGTTAAAAAAATAAGTCTCAGATAATCCAATACAGTACTTAAAGGGATCAGAGACATTCAGTTGTATGCTGTAAAGATACTTACCTCCTTCCTTGACAAGGTACAAATTTCTGCCGTCTTTACTCTTTTGTACTCCGTGCTTGAGGTCTGCCTTCTGCTGAATTTGTTCCTTGTTCAGAGCCTCATGTACATCCAGAGTCTGACCAAGCAGTGTAAGTTCCGTGCCTGCAGCGAGACACTGCTGAGCGCTCTCCTTTGTCTGTAACACAAACAGCACAAACACCGTTCTTTCCGGTTTGTTTTTAGATGGAAAAATAATGGCGTCAAATCAGCATGTCTCTACAATAAACTCTAAAATTCAAACCATATTAACAAAATTTAGTATTAAAATAATCTTCTGACTCCTGGAACACTAAACACAAGTGATCTAGTGGTCAGCATACAAGTTTAATATTCAGCGGATTCTTAAAATACTAATAAAAATACCTTGTATAAAGTACCTCATTAACTATAACTCAGATAATGGACAACGTCTAACACGACTTGTGTGATGAATCACAAACATTTAAAGAACTTGTATAACCCAGCAGCATACCTGAAACTTTACAAACGCCGTCCCCTTCGAGTGTTCTGTAATAGGATCTGTACATACGAGAGCATATATTACTTGACCAAACTGTTCCACGCAGGTTTTAAGATCACTGTTATCTGCTGAAAATGGAACATTTTTTATGAAAACTGTCCGTCCCTCAGAAACATCATTAGAAACCACTCTCGGCTTTTTAGCGTCAACTTTCTGTTTGGACTCTATGTCTGACCTGAAACAATGATGTAATTTCTTTATCATGTAACTTTACTTAGGAATAAAATCTTTATAGATTAAACTATTTACAACACGCACCATATACAGCATAAACTGAGGAGCTAGACACAGCTCAGTAAGTATAGTGTCTGACTTCAGACCAAAAGTTCAATCCTTGGCAGGGAAAAAAGGATTTTCTTTCTAGCCTCTGCAACTAACCAAATCTGGGGCCCAGCTGACCTCCGCTATGCTCTCTTTTTAGTCATTTTTACAATGCAATCATATGAAAAACTGAAATGCCGACCAATCAAGGAAAAGTAGTGGTAGTTCACAAACTTACTGATCACTGCCGTCTTCTTCCTCCTCTTCTTCATCACTATCTGAACTCTCATTTGTATCTGATTTGCTGTCAGCATTATCATCATCTTCTGATTCATCAGAAAGTGGTTCATTCTTAATTTCTACAGGCTGAACATCACAGCTACTATCACCTGAAGTTAACTTTTTCACACTTCCATCATCGTCTTGGTCTTCCTCTTTTATTTCAATTTCTTCTATGGCTGAGGACTCAGTTGTACTGAACGTAGATTTTGGTACAGCCCAGTCCACAATTATTGTTCGCCCTACGTGAGAAAATTTTTTTGAGTTCATAAAAAAATATAATATTGGTAATGGTAAAAGCAACAAAAAATTCTGTATATCTTTTAAATTATCTTGCTTGAAAAAGTGTAATGTAGCTAAAATAAATAGATGAAGAGTAGACCTCAGGCAGCAGAAATTATATGTCTAAAGAAAATCAGCAGTACACACAAAACAGAAAGCACAAAAAAAAAATTAAGAGAAAATATAATAACGTCTCACCCATCAGAGGCTTTCCACTGCAACTCAAGATAGCCTTAGCAGCGCTGTTCTTCTTCACAAACTGAATAAATCCACAACCTACAAGTTTCCCGTCACTTTTACGAAGCAAGTTAACCTCAGTAACTTCGCCATACTTCTCAAAATGTTTACGAAGAACTTCTTCTGTCACCTACAAAATAAATAAATAAAATAAAAAATAAAAGACATGTCAAGAAATGTCATGAAGCTTGGTCACCCATGGATTACGCACATACTAATATTAAAATAAATGCTGTTACTTATAAATTTGAAGGGTATAAAAAAATGAAGTGCAGTCTGGTTCTCTAGCACTACATTTTGGAAAATAAATATTCTCTGCGTTGTTTCAAAAATGTAAACTGATTCTGTTTACACGCACCTTAAAAGGAAGATTCCTGACAATAAGTCGTCCCTTTTTCGCTTTCTTACTTTTTTTACATTCCTTGGTTTCTGCATTGTGCACTAATTCTTTACCCAAAACTTTTAATTTATTTTCATTTTTAATATCACTGGATTCTTCTGCATGTTCAGATTCATTACGTTCTTCAGCCTCTTCATTCACTTTCAGCAGTGTAGCAGCACCGTTCTCTTTCTTCAACCGTGGTTGAGCCCAATCAACAACAAGCTTTCGCTCTACAAGCAACAAAACAATTCAAAGTTAACATCTGCTACAATTTCACAATAAAAAATGAAATATAAGGTGTGTGTATCTGTGTACTCCATACTGACGTCTGTATGTTTTTTATATTATATATATTTTTTCATAATGCAGAAATGCTGAGCTCCCACAAATTTGTGAAAAGGAAAAGAAGAATCAAAGAAATAAACATACAAAAATTGGCATAAAAGGTTATGGCAGCATAACGCCAGTTTTTAGGCTTATATTATCAGCAAGTGTTTCAATGAATCTCCTTCACTGATGTTACTGGAAGAATCATAAGCTGCTTTTATCAGCAAGTGTTTCAATGAATCTCCAACAATGATGTTAATGGAAGAATCATAAGCTGCTCTTTCAACACAGTCCTTATGAACACTGAGACACTAACACCATAGGATGAACTTTCCTATCCCAGGTCCACAGAAGTCAAAATCCTGTCCTTTCAACCATCATTTCACAGTTTTTTCTACATCACCAGTTTTGGCATCACTGAGTTGCTTCAGCATTGAAAACAGATTAAGCAAGGTTTGGAAGACCACATGTTTATAAATGAGAAAAATGTGGCTGTGAATAACTTCTATTTAAAATTACATTTTAGTTGCTTCTTGTGTACAAGCTCCTCACTGAGTGTCCACACTGCAGATAATACACATTATCTTCAATTAAAAGTGAGTGTGTCTTTATCAACCTTAAACCCCTATGAAATAACTTAAATGCTCTTAACTTACAGGTTATCCCTATCTTCAATGGTCAGTAATTAGGTATGTAAATGTGAATTTTATTTCTTACCCATGAAATCTTTTCCATTACAGCTCTGGATAGCTTTTGCTGCATTTTTCTCTTTTCTGAACTGAATAATACCACGACCAACAAGATCGCCATTAAGCTTCTGTAAGAGTTTTAATTCGCAGATGTCCCCAAACTTGTTAAAATACTCCCGGATACCATCTTCTGTTGCCTAATGGAACAAACATTACCTTATTAGTAAAAGATCCTCTGAACCCTTTTAGAAGCAGGTCTGTCTCCCCACAAAAACCCTTGTACCAACTGATGAATTTTCATGAAACCTGGTATGGAAAAAAAATGTTTTCTACCAACACTCACCTTAAATGACAGATTTTTAATAATAACTGCTCCTTTTTTGTTCTTTAATTTTAACTTCACTCTTCTTTTCTTGTTTCTTATTACACTTATGACAGTTGTTTCTTTGTTTCTGAATCTCTTCTTTCCCTCTGTAAAAATAAACCCTTAAACCAGCACTAAATTAGCATCTCCTGTCTTACTCCTTCTACCCCATAGAAGAATTTAACCTCAAACAAAAATTCTCAGCCATTAAAAATACATGTAAGCAACAGTGGTTATGCTTACCTGTGTAATTATTTGTGACAATATTGTTGACTGTAAATAATTATCATAAATATGTAATTTATATTTGTTTTAGAAACAAGTATTGTATTTGGGTTTTCATAAATATGTAATTTATATTTGTTTTTGAAACAAGTATTGTATTTGGGTTGTGACATGTTCTACATCCTTGGCTAATAAGAAGGATCTATGGAAGGTAAATAAATTCTATTCTGTAACCCGTAGGTTAAAATTCCTTTGAAGTATCTCATACACAGTTCTTAAGAATAGAAACTCAAATCTGACTAATTCTTAAGAATGTTACAGCGGCCAGTGGCTGACAATTGTCCATGTAAGTATAACGTAGTGATGCGTATTGAAATTTGCCCCTACACATTTAATACACATCAGTCCCAAATTACACATACAAGAGATGTTAAGATTTTAATGTTTTTGTAAACTGTATAAAAAAAGTAAAACCTACTTAAATTTTTACTAATGTACTTTCCTCTGTGAATGATCAGAATTGGCAAAGAAGGAATAAGGGAAAATATAGTTTTCGAAAGATCCTATAATGCCAACGCGAGACATGTAACAGGTTACTAAAACACTTTTTTATTAGAATGGCTGTCTTCTGGGTTGTTGCACCGTGTAGTATGGTAGAAGTTTATAAACGTTTCATAGGTCCTTGCTGCCTCCATCATCAGAACAGCAAGGACCTCTGAAACGTTGGTAAACTTCTACCAGACTACAAGGCTTAACAGCCCAGGAGACAGCTATCTTCAGACTCACCGCCGTGACAACCTCAAATACTACGTACTTTTCTTATTAATCATATGAAGAGATTAGGTCGAATAGGCCGAAGATATGGCAGTATTTCTTAAACCGTTAGTTCGTTTTAATTAAAAAATAAATCTTATGCCAAAATGTTAGAAAAATCCCTTTAAATACATACATATCACGCACTTGACCCTTATTGAAAGATATAATGTTTACAATACATACTTACTGTGCGGCATGGTTTTTGGAGGTTAAGTTATTGTAGAATAAAACAGTATCGTCATTTCTCCCTGGAGAAAGTAGAGTTTACAGAACTGTCAATTCGTTCGAATAAAACTGTATATATCTTGACCCTTGATTTTAATTAATTAATGCCAAAACCAGTTATCAACCTGAATTTACAAAAAGCAAACAATTGCACAGCGAATTACAAACACAGGATGGCATCCATGGTTGCTAAATTAATTCAAACACCTTCGCCATCTGTTATTAGCCAACATAATGCACTTACCTAGCCTTCGGTAACAATCAGTGGACTCTCTGACGTCCGACATGGCCTCCGACATTCATGCGTTTTTTTAAATTTATTATCTTTATCGTCATGTCACAATATTTCTTTTGCAGCACCATTTTAAGTCTTCGATTACAAACTATTCGCCATAAGCATTGATGCAAATCTCTTCAAAAAGCTTTTACTTTTTGTTGTACAAAACTACTACAGTATACTTACAATTGCAGAATATGCTGCATAAATTTTAAATATTTTCTCAATGCCCATGTATTCAACTATCACAACTGCATCATGAAGTTGTGCCACAATTACCCCACCCATTACACTTTTCAACTTCCTAAAGTCATGTAACCCATCAACGGTAATTCACATCCCTCCATTTCCTATAGTTTAACTACTCGACACAAAATTTTGATTTGGCAACAACTTGAAAAATGGCCATTGCCAATCAAAATACATGCACTTATCAACAACCTCCAGATCTGATAACTCGACCAGTTTCAGAGACATTAGGGTTAATGGGAAAGGTCAGTTTCATGGTTTTGTAACGCATTTGCTGGGAAGAGCTAATGCCAACAGATTTCATGGAGAACCTGCCGCCCAGGCAACTACCATACATTACACAAATATTATAGCCAACACAGTGAAGATTTAAAATGTAGAACAGGTAAAGAACCAAATTCCAAAATAATGCAACCTCCATGAAGATTAAACACATTCTTATAAAACTAAGGCATAGCAGCACGGCTGTCAAGTTTTTACAAGTCAAAGTGACGTATAGTCAGTCACACATGGTATGAACCTATTCTTTACTACTCACACTTCTATTTTTAATGAGGATTCTATTAAATTAATCTTCAATTGTAAAAAGGCGTATCTTTATTAACAGTACCCAAAAAATTGCAAGCAACGAACTTTTTCTCTCTCACATAACAAATATTGTAACTATTGCATAAACTGTAACTTAAAAGTTGAAAGAAAAAAATAACGAGCCCATTACAAGTGGTACCTTGGCGAACCGATGCAAACCACTTGATTACATTTTACAATAAATTTTATACAAAACATGACTCAAAAATCATATCATAAGCTTGCCAAATATGAGTGTGAGTGGTGGTAAGTCCGGCCAATTTTGTTACTGCTGTTTGCAATCGGCTGGATTCACATTCTTCGCAGGCGTAGCACGCTGCTTATTCCCTGGATTAAACTCTGGATCTTCATCATCCTCTTCCTCCCCTTCTTCACCCTCTTCTTCTTCTTCAAAATCTTCATCTTCCAGTGCTTCACCTGTAAGTACATGAACAATTAAACGACTGTCCGTACAATGTATTCACGCTTATTTTCAAAGTAACCAATTAGTCAATAAAAATCCATGACCGTCCGACAGTGCATTTCCTACCGGTGTAGTACAGAATGGCTCGAGGTACAATTCTCTCCCTGATGTAATGCCCTATTTCAAAATCACTCGTCAGCAGTGCCTGGGTCTCCTCCTCCATTTCTACTTCAGGATCATCTGGAACTATAAGAATTAAACATGTTGACACAATCACACCGGTCAAAAAAAATAAAATCGGATTTACGTCTACCAAAGTCTCTCTTACTTCAAAAACTTTTTCATGCTGAGGAAATTAGCACAAAATCCATGGATATGAACATCTGGTTTCAATCATCGATAAACTTTCGTTGCAGCAACGTTAATGAAGATTTAAAAAGCATTAAAGATCTATCATGAAAATACTTACTAGGTGGTGGCGAGAAGAAATTGAAAAAAGAGTCATTCTGAACAGTCTTTGTGACTGTTCTAACAGATCCTCTGGACTTATGCTTCTGCTTCTTTTTAATAGTCTTAACAGTCACATTCTTTCCTTTCTTCCAATCAATGATGCAGCCCTAAAATGGAATTATATAAAAGTATCAACCCTCAAAGTTCAGTGGTCGAAGTCATCTGCTTAAACTCCGACTACGACAGAACCTCCTCGTGGATTGAAATTACGGCTAAATTGTACGTTAACCATACTTACTTTGCATTTATAGATCTCTGGTCCCTCGAAACTAAATGGATCACCTTCTTCTGGCGTACATTTCATTTCATACTCTTTTGTGAGCACTGAATTTGAGAAGTACTCATTTGGAGAAAAATGGAACTCCAAAACAAAGCCCTAAAACAAAAAGTTCAAAACACGAACTACAGAGACCTCAAACATGTTCAAAACCACCTAAAAGACCGGAACACCACAATCCGAACACCCAGACTTAATTATGACACGAGTTTCAAAGCATGTAGCATGGTCGAGGTCAGACTAAGAAAGGTACCCTGGTCCTCCAGGTTGGGGGTTGGTCACAAGGCTAACAACCTTGCGCCGTAAAAAGGAAGATGTTTCAAAACCTCGATCAAAGCCTCGGACAGACGGACCTAACAGAGGACCGAATGGAAGAGGAGAATTGAGGAGGCCGTGGACCGAATACGGACCGGAGAGCCATAGAAGAGGAAGAAGAAGTGTGCAACATTTCTTACAATACACAGATAAACATCTGAAGTGATAAATCCCCAGGTTCCTCTGGGTTCAGCCACAAGCACGTTAGAAATTATTTCTGCACGATTACAGACGTGGGACACGCCACGTTTGAATCGACATGTGACGGAGCATCTGCGCGAGCAGTTCCCTGCCGTTGGACTAGTCACGGTGTTCCACAGAACTGACCTTACTCCCCTGGACTTCCATGTACAGTGTTACACGAAAAACATGACATAGGAGAAAATGCATAAAGTTTATGATGCTCCAAGGTGTAGGAATGACGCTAACATTCTAAATTATGAATGAGAATCATATGTATGGATCTTCATATGGTATTTCTACATGGGAATGGCTTGTTACCAAATATCCGTCATATAAGAATCTGTTGAACGAAGTTAAGAAACATGAGCCAACGGAATTATGTTAATGACAGTCACAGTACCATATAAGCAGATCAGAGGTAAATTTCTATAAAGCTAACTTCCAGTTTCATGGTTTTGTAACGCATTTGCTGGGAAGAGCTAATGCCAACAGATTTCATGGAGAACCTGCCGCCCAGGCAACTACCATACATTACACAAATATTATAGCCAACACAGTGAAGATTTAAAATGTAGAACAGGTAAAGAACCAAATTCCAAAATAATGCAACCTCCATGAAGATTAAACACATTCTTATAAAACTAAGGCATAGCAGCACGGCTGTCAAGTTTTTACAAGTCAAAGTGACGTATAGTCAGTCACACATGGTATGAACCTATTCTTTACTACTCACACTTCTATTTTTAATGAGGATTCTATTAAATTAATCTTCAATTGTAAAAAGGCGTATCTTTATTAACAGTACCCAAAAAATTGCAAGCAACGAACTTTTTCTCTCTCACATAACAAATATTGTAACTATTGCATAAACTGTAACTTAAAAGTTGAAAGAAAAAAATAACGAGCCCATTACAAGTGGTACCTTGGCGAACCGATGCAAACCACTTGATTACATTTTACAATAAATTTTATACAAAACATGACTCAAAAATCATATCATAAGCTTGCCAAATATGAGTGTGAGTGGTGGTAAGTCCGGCCAATTTTGTTACTGCTGTTTGCAATCGGCTGGATTCACATTCTTCGCAGGCGTAGCACGCTGCTTATTCCCTGGATTAAACTCTGGATCTTCATCATCCTCTTCCTCCCCTTCTTCACCCTCTTCTTCTTCTTCAAAATCTTCATCTTCCAGTGCTTCACCTATAAGTACATGAACAATTAAACGACTGTCCGTACAATGTATTCACGCTTATTTTCAAAGTAACCAATTAGTCAATAAAAATCCATGACCGTCCGACAGTGCATTTCCTACCAGTGTAGTACAGAATGGCTCGAGGTACAATTCTCTCCCTGATGTAATGCCCTATTTCAAAATCACTCGTCAGCAGTGCCTGGGTCTCCTCCTCCATTTCTACTTCAGGATCATCTGGAACTATAAGAATTAAACATGTTGACACAATCACACCGGTCAAAAAAAATAAAATCGGATTTACGTCTACCAAAGTCTCTCTTAGTTCAAAAACTTTTTCATGCTGAGGAAATTAGCACAAAATCCATGGATATGAACATCTGGTTTCAATCATCGATAATCTTTCGTTGCAGCAACGTTAATGAAGATTTAAAAAGCATTAAAGATCTATCATGAAAATACTTACTAGGTGGTGGCGAGAAGAAATTGAAAAAAGAGTCATTCTGAACAGTCTTTGTGACTGTTCTAACAGATCCTCTGGACTTATGCTTCTGCTTCTTTTTAATAGTCTTAACAGTCACATTCTTTCCTTTCTTCCAATCAATGATGCAGCCCTAAAATGGAATTATATAAAAGTATCAACCCTCAAAGTTCAGTGGTCGAAGTCATCTGCTTAAACTCCGACTACGACAGAACCTCCTCGTGGATTGAAATTACGGCTAAATTGTACGTTAACCATACTTACTTTGCATTTATAGATCTCTGGTCCCTCGAAACTAAATGGATCACCTTCTTCTGGCGTACATTTCATTTCATACTCTTTTGTGAGCACTGAATTTGAGAAGTACTCATTTGGAGAAAAATGGAACTCCAAAACAAAGCCCTAAAACAAAAAGTTCAAAACACGAACTACAGAGACCTCAAACATGTTCAAAACCACCTAAAAGACCGGAACACCACAATCCGAACACCCAGACTTAATTATGACACGAGTTTCAAAGCATGTAGCATGGTCGAGGTCAGACTAAGAAAGGTACCCTGGTCCTCCAGGTTGGGGGTTGGTCACAAGGCTAACAACCTTGCGCCGTAAAAAGGAAGATGTTTCAAAACCTCGATCAAAGCCTCGGACAGACGGACCTAACAGAGGACCGAATGGAAGAGGAGAATTGAGGAGGCCGTGGACCGAATACGGACCGGAGAGCCATAGAAGAGGAAGAAGAAGTGTGCAACATTTCTTACAATACACAGATAAACATCTGAAGTGATAAATCCCCAGGTTCCTCTGGGTTCAGCCACAAGCACGTTAGAAATTATTTCTGCACGATTACAGACGTGGGACACGCCACGTTTGAATCGACATGTGACGGAGCATCTGCGCGAGCAGTTCCCTGCCGTTGGACTAGTCACGGTGTTCCACAGAACTGACCTTACTCCCCTGGACTTCCATGTACAGTGTTACACGAAAAACATGACATAGGAGAAAATGCATAAAGTTTATGATGCTCCAAGGTGTAGGAATGACGCTAACATTCTAAATTATGAATGAGAATCATATGTATGGATCTTCATATGGTATTTCTACATGGGAATGGCTTGTTACCAAATATCCGTCATATAAGAATCTGTTGAACGAAGTTAAGAAACATGAGCCAACGGAATTATGTTAATGACAGTCACAGTACCATATAAGCAGATCAGAGGTAAATTTCTATAAAGCTAACTTCCTGTTATGGAACCAAGACGCAGCATACCAACTCACCATGGGATTTGATTCCAGGAATATCACTTTGACATCAAACAGATATTTGAGGATGGGCTCATCGTGTTCCTGCACCATCTCAGACAACATCTGTACATTTTTGAAGATAGTCAGCCAGAAATTTGGGATTCCCTTTACTTCTTCATTCTTGTTAATCCTAAATTAAAACACACATTAGTCTGATGACTTTTTTAAAAAGGGGTGGGGGGAACCAGTACCATCAGACGCCAACAACCGCAACTTACTCATTCTCCTGCTTCTTGGCAGTGTCCACTTCTTCAATCTTAACTTTATTTTTCATATCAGAACTAAGTTGTTCTTCCTTCTCATCACCAGAATCCCATTCACACTCCAAATCTGTTGGTTCATATAGACCCGAGATTATATCTCCTCGCTGAAAGATATATTGATAAGTATGAAACAGCAATTACACATTAAAAACTTCGCATGTCACATTTCTAACCGTAAGATACATTCGACATTCAGATAGAAGCATATTCAACTTGACTATCTAACATAATCGACAAACACTGCCAATACAGTGACAAAATTGCAATCTCAAGAATACCTTTTCATATAGGGGTGTATACAGTTTCTGGTACTTGCATTCCAATAAATGAACTTCTTCATAGAATTTAGCTTCAATATTTGTTGCTTCCAATTGAATTTTTTTAAGAGCTTTAATTCTTCGCTTCACACAGGCAGGCAGTTGCTGAAACAAACATGTATTATTTAAAATTAAAATGTTAACTCTGTGGGTCAGCCCCTATATACATATAAATAAATAAAACCAATATCATTAAGAATCACGCAGACTGGCTGCACACTATATCCAAAATGTTTCCATACGTTTCAACTTGTTACTGCAATCACAAAACCAAACAATGAATAAATATTAGCATGGCTCTCACCTCCAGCATTTCTGCATGCAAGCGCCCTTGTAAAGCAGCCAATACATCTGGACGTCTTAGGACCTGCTCTTTTATACCGTCCACATCTGTTTGCTCCTCCTCTTCTTCATCCACTATTTCGAATCTTACATCTCCAATCAAGTCTCTCCCTGCCATAGTTTCTTCCCGGACTGAAACACAACAGAACCTCTACATGCACATCATTTGGACATGTGGTGTCCAAAATACAAATCTAATCTTCACGGTATTGTACACTGTACATTGAGAATCAACTTAATTGCTCTCAATATCTTTGACCGCTCTACTTCCACTGAATTAACCACACAAATTAAAAATGGGTATCGTGCGGTTTTACTACGTCTTTCTTTCAAGGGTCACGGTCAATACGAATTTTGGACGTAAATAACAATAAACATCCAACGAAACTCCAACAGTAAATTCCACTAAACATACATACTATTCGATACTACACACACAAGTATATTACAGTTACAAAGTTATAATTTGAGATTAAATATGTCAAAATTAAATAACAATAAGAATGTCGGCCGTCTTTCACTGCACATGGAAACCACATTCACATTCTAATATTTTACAGATTAGAATACATAAAAGTAACATTAAAGCGGCCAACATACAATAAGATATGACACTAAAGCACAATTATAATTACATTAGCATATTAACAAATCTAACTTCTCTCCGAAACCTAAATTTACACTC